TCTCTCTCCCCTCTTTCTATCTCTCCCCCTCTGTCTGTCTCTCTCTGTGTCTCACTCTCTGTGTCTCTCTCTCCCCTCTTTTTCTGTCTCTCCCCCTCTCTGTGTCTCTCTTTCTCTCTGTCTCTCTCCCCTATTTCTGTCTCTCTCCCCTCTTTTCCTCCCCCTCTCTCTGTCTCTCTCCCCTCTTTTTCTCCCCCTCTCTCTGTCTCTCTCCCCTCTTTCTGTCTCTCTCCCCTCTTTTCCTCCCCCTCTTTCTGTCTCTCTCCCCTCTTTTTCTCCCCCTCTCCCTGTCTCTCTCCCCTCTTTTCCTCCCCCTCTCTCTGTCTCTCTCCCCTCTTTTCCTCCCCCTCTCTCTGTCTCTCCCACTCTGTCTGTCTCTCTCTCTGTCTCTCTCTAGAAAAAAAAGGTCTTATTTTACTGATTGAACTGTTGGCACATTTTTTTTAGACCAAATCTCAGGAAGAAAAGACTATTATGCATCGAATCCAGAACTACATCTCCTGCAGAATGCAATGGACCCTTTGGACACATGTAGTCCTTCTACTGACTTTGGGAAACCAACACATTGGAGTTTGGGGCAAAAGCATTGTGCAGTGGCAAGGAGACTTCGACCACATCTATTCTGGGAACGTGAATAATGCTCTGCAAAACATATATGCTTTCAACCACACGGTTTCGAGGAATAAGGTAAACCAAAATATCTTCCAAAGTGCTCGTTGTCTTCAATTCCCTTCGCACCTTGGCCCCTCCCTACCTCTCCGACCTGCTCACTCCGCAACCCTCTACCCGCTGCCTCCGGCTATCGCTGGTCGCGCTTTCAGCCACTATACCCTGAAACTCGGGAACACTCTCCCGCAGTCCCTCCGCCTCACCCCCTTCCTTCCCCATCGTCAGGTCGCGCTTGAAGACCTTTCTCTTACCCATTTCTTTGACTCTCTCTCTCCAGTGTCCTACCCAACAATTCCCCACCACCTCCCACCGTCACCCCAATAAAATTGGTCACTCAATCCACGGCTGTTTGTGGGACGCTGCTGTGCACAATTGGCTGCCGTGTTTCACCCACAAAATATACAGTCAGTTCACTTTACAGTGTATTATGTCGTATGAAGCGCTTTGAGACGTCTCACAGATATGATAAGGTGCCAAATCAGATGTAAAGATTATTGTATTTGATTTAATTCATAAGAAAGTGTGCCGCGTTCATCTTTTCTCCCCCTCCCCCCTTCCTTTCTCTCTCTCCCTCCCCCGTATTGACAAAACGTGGAGGATTGTAAATTAGATTGTGATAGGCTCAAAGCATTGAGCAGGAACCCAAGGCCATATCCGAGGACGTTTAAAGAGGTATCGTGGCTGTTTCTTCTCCTCCTACCTCTCCCCCTACGAACTACAGGGAATTCTCCCCTTAGTAAAATAATCCTCGGGCCAGAAGATGTTTGGTTGATTACACACACACACCCCAGTCCAGGCTGACTCTCCAGTGCAATGACGGGTGTTGGCGGAGCGCTGTGATGTAGTTGATGCCGTCCTTCGGATGAGACGTTAAGCCTAACTCCCTGACTGCGCCTGTACAGGTGGTTCTTAAAGATCCTTACTTGGTGGGCTTTTTGCTGTGCACAAACTTAGCCATGGTGTTGGCCTACAAGTACAGTCACTACGCTTGACTTCCTTGTATTGTATCGGCAAAGAAATCTTTCTGTTCTATAATTACCATCACACGCTGGTATCTGAAAATATTATTGGTTTATTTAGCCTCTGTGTTTCCTTTCAGTCACTTGCAGGAACAATAGGTATAAAAATCAGAATTGTAACATGGCCAAAATTATAATAGTCCTGTAGCTCAGTGGTTATCGCACTCGCCTCGCAAGCGAGAGAACAAGGGTTTGATTCTAAGGCAGATCGAAATCTTAGGCAAGTTTCCTTACTCCACACACCTGGGTGTACTCAGCAGTAAGTAGGAACCCACTTGTTCCATCTCGGAGATCGCTAATTCCTGGTGACAAATGAAACATGACATGATTTTTTTTTAACCGTTTTAAAAAAAACTGCTTTCTTGCTTAACTTCCCATTGCACCACAAGTGCAAGGTCCAGGCTCAACCAGCGCTGCCTGTGTGAAGGGAGTTTCTCCAATTATCCCAGCCAACAATCTTACAGATTCATTAATTAACAGGTCATTAATTTCACAGTTGTTGCTGGGTATAAATTGGCTGCTGTGTTTACCTAAATAACAGTCACTACACAAAACAGTAATTACATAGATGCGAGATCCAATGCAAGGAGTATCATAAATAGTGAGACTATTGCCACTGGTCGGTGAATTTGAAACAAACTCAGGATTGTCACTGGAAATGTGCCTTTAAATTGCAATTCTATCTATTGCATCCCCTTTGCTTGTGTTTCAAGAGTTGTTTCTATTTGTCTCTGAGTATAGTCCTGTAGCTCAGTGGTTAGAGTTCTCGGAAGCGATAGATTCCCGGCGGGGCAAAATGTTGGGCAAGTTTCCTTACGCCACACACACCCACCCACGCAGTAATTAGGAACCCAGTTGATTGGCGGATCGCTTTTCTGGGGACATTAACCCCCCCCCACCCTCCGCCTCCCAAAAAACAATTGCGGTCACTCAATCCACGACTGTTGTAGTGACACTGCTGTGCGTGGATTGGCTGCCGCATTTCACCCCAAAAATACATAGTCACTTTACGATATATTCCATGCAGGGATTATAAGGCGCAATATCAAGCTATCGCTTGGGGAACGCTGCTGTGCACAATTGATAATAATCCTCGGATTCGATACGGCGCCTGATCACGTCGTTGAGACGTCTCAAAGGACTTCACAGAATATACTGTAAAGTGGAGTGACTATGGATTTTGTCGGTGAAAATATTTGATTTCCCCCTCCCCTCCCCCCCTCCTCCCATGTGGTATTTGGTGGGTGAGATGTGCGTCCTGTTCTCTCCACAGACCGAGGGGGTGCGAGTCTATGTGAACGTGTTGTCGGAGCAGGCCAAGACCCCGGTGTTGTTTGTGGTCCGACAACAACAAGCTGTTCTCTCCTTCCAGGTGCCACTGATCCTCCGGGGGCTGTGAGTACAACAACAACACATTACATTTACACAGGGCCTTTCATGTCGGGAGGATGTTCTAAGGCACTGGACAGTCAGGGATTTGGACCCGAGCTGGGGATTCGGATCACGAGGGTTGGAGGGCAGGGAGGGTGGGGGTAGGAGGGTGACTGAAAGAGCGGTCGAAGAGGAGGGTCTTGAGACCAGCCTTGAAGGCGAGAGGGAGGGACTCTGCGGTGGAGATCCAGAGGGTGGGGGCATCGAGGCTGAAGGTCCGGTTGCCGATGATGGGGCGAGCAGGGCAGGTGGCATGAAGCAGGCCGGTGCCCGCCCAGCGGAGGGAGCGGGTAGGTTGAATGGGGTTAATTGGTCGCAGCGGTAGGGAGGAGCACGGCTGGGGAGGGCTTTGAAAGTGAGGGCGAGGATTTTAAACTCGAGCATCATCATGTACTAGTGCTTGTGGGGAGAGAGGAGGGTGAGAGGGGAGAGGAGGAGAGGGGAGAGAGAGAGGATGGGAGGAAGAGTAAAGGGGGAGAGAGAGGGGGATAGAAAACAGAGATACAGAGGGAGGAGAGAGAGAGAGACGGACAGAGAAAGAGGGAGATGGGGAAGAGAGAGGGAGAGGGACTGGAAGGGCAACATTCTTTCTTCAGATGAACATAATTCTGATAACTAGGGACCAGTTTCTCCTCGAATTCTTTCCATTTTACTCGTTGAACATCTGCTTGCGGTCGCTGTCAATTCTGACTAATAGAATGATATTTCAAGCATTTGGTGCTGAGTGGCTGCCCGAACAATTACCCAGAGCTTTGGGATGTATTAGTGATCAGTTCATGAAATAGACTCAACTGTCCACGAACCTCTATTCCAATTTCACTCCATTGGTCAAACACATAATTACAGACTTGTGGCAAATCAATGATAGTAATATTTCTTGTTTTTCAACAACAATAACAATAATAAGTGTCTGTAATGTCTGTGTATATATAGACAAATGCAGACAAATGTCCCCCAAACACCTATGGAGTGAGTGAATTTTATCTGCAGGTTTGTTGGCCAGGACACAGGGGAGAAAAACCCAGACAGTCACAGAGTGAGCGACCGATTTTATTTGGGGGTTGTTGACTAGGACACGGGAGAAAGAGAGAGAGAAACTCACTTCTCTTTTCGAATAGCGTCACAGGATTTTTAACCTGAACAGACAGACAGGATTGGTTTAATGTCTCATCCGAAGGACGGCGTCTCTGGTATTGCAACACAGCCCCCCAGCGCTGTACTAGAATATCAGCCCGGACCAAAAAAAAAATTGGTCACTCAATCCATGACTTTGTGGGACACAATTGGCGGCCTGCTACATTTCGCCCACAGTCAATTCACTTTAGAATATATTCTGTGAAAAAGCTTTGTGAGCGTCTCAACGACGTGATCAGGTGCTATATCAATTTTGCTTACAAGTCTCCAGAAGGCAGCCACGCAGTCCATCGAGCCTGTTCCACCGGGCTATTACGTCCCGAAAGACCAGATGTGTTAAGGGACAAAATTATATTTGCACAAAGGCTTTATCCCTTTGATTTTCAGAATGATAATAATAGTAATACCGAGTTGGCAAACACATAATACTTTGCACAGGTGAAAGCAGCCATTTGATAAACAGACTCGTTGGTTTAATGAGTTGACTTAGTGAGGATTGCAGAGTAACCTTGGAGTGTGTGTGCGTGTTCACTGACTGTGTCGTTTCATTGCCACGTCTTCAGCACAATTCCAATCCAGGGTTAGGTCATTGCGATCAAACTCCACCTGTCGATCTTTGTGATAAATTCCATATGTCAGGATTTGAACTCACACAGTCTAAGCTGATGCTCCAATGCAGCACTGGGGGGTGTTGTATTGTAAAGGTGCCGTCCTTTGGATGAGACGTTAAACCAAGGTCCCGTCTGCCTGTCCAGGTGGACGTTAAAGATCCCGCAGCGCTATTCAAAAAGAGAAATTTAATTTCTCTCTCCCAGTTCCTGGCCAACAATCCTCCAAATAAGATTGGTCACTCTCTCCTTGGCTGTTTGCGAGACACTGTTGTGTACAATTCTGCTGCCATGTTTGCCTACAGATACAGTCACTCCACTTTACAGTATATCCTGTGCAACACCTGGAGAAGTCCTTCTGACCTGATAAGGCACTATGCCAAATGCGAAGCAGTATTACTGTTATTGTTCAGGGTGGGTAAGCTGTATATTGTTTCTCCTACGTGTTACGTTTCCCAGCAAATCCCGTGACACACTTTGAGATGTAGGAACAGGAGTAGGCCATTCAGCCCCTACAGCCTGTTCCGCCCTTCTATTAGATTCTGTCTGACGTGAAAGGTGCTTTAGATCGCAAATGAAGATCTTCCTCTTCGACCGTGCCACCGGTCACCTCCCCTCGCTCTCTCTGGCTCGGCGTCAGGTTCCACCATCGTTAAGCGCTCTGAGACTTGACCCCATGTGAAGGGCGCTGTAGGCTGGAGTCCTGTAGCTCAGTGGTTAGTGCACTCGCCTCACAAGTGAGAGGACCTTGGGTCCGATTCCTGGACGGGGCGAAATGTTGGGCGTAAGTTTCCGTACTCCACACGACTCTGGTTACATAGCAGTACAACAAACCACTTTACAGTATATCCTGTGAAGCGCTTTGAGACATCTCGAAGACATGATGAGGCGCTGTGTCAAATGTGAGGATTATTATTTCAAAATTAAGCTTGAACTTAAGGATATTAAAATCTTCGGGTCTGGGCTGGTCTAAAACATTAAGCAGCAGCAGTCACGTACACACAAGTTGGAAAACAACCCAGTCTTCAGAGAACGCTTTGTATTCCAGACTAAATTTAATTTTAAGATAATTATTCTGGGAATGGATTAATCTGGTTAGTAGCAAACATCAGGATTTTCATGTCTCGGGACACATTTGACACTGGAAGCAACAGACGGAGAGAATAAAAGGCTTTTTATTTGCCCGTGGGTCATGTGTTGAACTTTTTCGAACTGTACCATTCCGATTTGGCAATACTTATTAGATCACAAGGTTCATTTGGGTGAAAAAGGTCCTTCGGGCCATCTGATCTTATCCCTCCAGACCACCCACCCTCCCCTCCCACCATCACAGCATTGAGCTGCTTTTTTTTAAAACAAGTCCCAGCATCTTGGCTCAACCCCCCCACCCACCCCACTTCCTGGCAACCCTACTCCAGTCCTTAATTACCCTCTGGGGAAAGACACTTCCTGGTGTCTGTCCTGAAATTTCCCTTTGCAATTCTAAACCTGTGTCCTCTTGTTCCGATGTCTGGACGCATTGCAAGGTATAGTTCTGGGTTTACGTTTTTAATACCATTTAGAATTTTATACACCTCTATAGGTGGGTTACTATAATAATAATAATAATAATCCTGGCATTTGATATAGTGCTTTATCAGGCCTGCTTGGCATCTCAAAGTGCTTCACAGAATACACCATGAAGTGAATTGACTGTGTTTTGTGGGCGAAACGCGGCAGCCACACAGCAGCGTCCCACACACAGTTATGGATTAAGTGATCAAATTATTATTTTTTCGAAGGGATTATTACCCCCGGAAAAGCGATGCGCCAAGCGATTCGAGTTGTCTTACTCTCAAGGCTGAAGAGCTGCAGCCTGTCTGATCACTGCTCTTAGCTTGTTCCTCTAACACTAGGGGTTGACCTAGTTGCTCTCCTCATTCACAGCGAGCTTGGTAGAGTACACTATCTTGGCCGAATAGCTGTGTGATTCCTTTCTGAACTGATTGCCTCAGTCTATCTCCACTGGCTCCCTGGACAGTCCTGTCCACATAATCACCAATGGTCCGAATGGATGGGATGTGAGGACAAGATTAGCCGTAATGGATGTCTAGGAGGAACTTCTTCTCTGTGTCACGGTGGTGAGAACATGGCCTCGTTGCTGGAAGCTGTGGTTGAAGTAGAAATCATTGTATTTAAGAAGAAACTTGATGCATACGAGAGAGTGTCCTGTAGCTCAGTAATTAGAGCATTTGCCTCGCAAGCAGAAGGACCTGGGTTCGATTCCCAGGCAGGCAAGTTTCCTTACTCCACACGCCTGTTGACCTCGCAGTAAGAAGGAACCCGCTTGTTAGTTAATTGGCGGATCGCTTTTCCGGGAGTAATCATTCCTTTGAAAAAAAAATAAAAAAATTGGTCACTCAATCCACGATTGTTTGTGAGGCAGTGCTGTGCACAATCGGCTGCTGCGTTTCACCCACAAAGTTCGGTCACTACATGTTACAGTGTATTCTGTGAAGCGCTTTGAGATATCTCGCAGACGGGGTAAGGCGCTGTATCAAATGCAAAGATTATTATTATTATTTTAATTCAACGTCCGTGTAAAAATTCGTTTATTCCTCTGATTCTTGCTGACGTTTTCGCTCGTGCCCCCTTCCCCCTACTCCCTCACCCACCCCGCAGCTACCAGAGGAAGTACACTTACCAGGAAGTGAGCCGTACGCTGTGCCAACCGGAGGTGAAGAGCGAGTCCCAGACGCAGTTTTTCTACGTGGACGTGTCGACGCTCTCGGGTACCAACACCTCGTTCCAGCTGTTCGTGAAACGAGTGGTGCACTTTGTGCTGAGGTGGGTGCGGACACTTTGTGCATTACCCTCCCACCCCACCCCCCAAATAAGATTCCTTTCCTGTCTCGTTTCGTGCTTTACCAAGACTCGTGGAATCCTGTAGCCTAGTGGTTGGAGCGCTCGCGAGCAAGAGGACCCACGTTCGATTCCCGGGCGGGAAGAGCGAAACCTTAGACATGTTTTATCACGACGTGATAAGGCGCTATGTCAAATGCGAGGATTATTATTATTATTATATTGACTGGCCACCTGGTTGGTTTATCCATCTCAGCACAGAGATTAAGTATGTCTGAGTCTTTGCTCTGTAACGCTCCCAGTGACGAATAGCTGTGTGACATGTCAGACCTGCACAATGCAAACAGAGTCTTAAATCAGCTTTTATTTCCGTTATTTGGCAGAACTGGTGAACCATTCCGATTCAACGCAACTCCGTCACAGCCTCAGGTGAGGGGAGGGGGAGGGGGGGATCAAATAACAACGCTTTGCCAGATAAACGTTGCCGATTAAAAAGCTAAAATCCGCCCCCCACCCCTCCCCCTCCCCCCACACCCCAAGAGAAAAATAGACACCCGAGTCAGAACCGTCAGCGGAGAAAATGGCTGCAGTCACAATGCCATCACTTCCAGATTCTGTAGCACAACTTCCTGTGCCTGTCGGCAGGTCTGCGCCGAATTTACATCCACGAACCAAGGAGACGCACATTATAAGCGGACTCGTGACTCTACTTCTACGAGAAATCCCCCCTTTTTCGGGTTATTTTGTTAGCGGCAAAATATCCCCTTACGTGTTGAGAGGCTGTTTGTTTAAACAGCGGCTTTAGAAGTGACTAGGCCTTCGTCTTCTGGGTTCCGGTTGTTTTACCTGGAATGTTTCACGTCACGGGTAATAATCCCTTCAAGAAAAGAAATCATAAAAATTTGGTCGCTCAATCCACGGCTGTTTGTGGGACGTCGCTGTGTGCAATTGGCTGCCGCATTTCGCCCACAAAATACACACTCACTACACTTTATGGCATATCCTGTGAAGCACTTTGAGACGTCTCGAAGATGAGATGAGGCGTTGTATCAAATGCAAAGATTATTGTTGTTGTTATTAAGTTCAGAGGGATTCAGCAAAGCACTCACCGTAACATGACTGATTAGCTACATTTATAGAGTTGACATAGTTCCATGGAGTTCCCTGAATACAATAAACCAACGTGTTATCTGCTTTACTTGCTGTTTATTTGCAGTATGTGATATACAAGTTCCCTGAGGGATTGGACTCAGTGATTGTGAAGGTTACTTCAGATTTAGCTTTTCCCTGTTCCGTTGTCTCCATCCAGGATATCCTGGTAAGTGCAAAGCCAAAGTCTTGTCTCCCGCTGTGTCCCTGTTCTGATTGAACCAATTGTTCACCCACAAAACACACAGTCACTGCTGTATTTCGCACACAAAATATACAGTCGATCCACTTTACAGTATATTCTGTGAAGCGCTTTGAGATGTGATAAGGTGCAAGGATTATTCTTATTATTACTTTATCTCTCGTCCTTTGGATGAGACCTTAAACAGGTCCTATCTACCTGTTCAGGCGGATATTAAAGATCCCTCGGCGCTATTCGAAAAGAGAAGGGAGTTTCTCTCTCTCTCCCAGTGTCCTGGCCAACATTCCCCCAAATAAAATTGGTCGCTCACTGCATGTATTTGTGGGCTTTGGTGCGTAATTCACTGCCGAGTTTTGGCCACAAAATACACAATAATCCACTTTACAGTATGTTTTGTGAAGCATTTTGAAACACCTCAACGATATGATAAGGCGCTGTATCAAACACAAAATTATTATTATTATTAATAAATGATATGAAGATGTGAAAGGCGCTGTACCAGACATAGGGATTATTATAGTGATGGGTGACTGAATGATTACTTTAAATACCAATTCACAGTGACGGTTGAGTGAGGGGGGAGTGGGGGGTGACGTTTGCGTTGTTTTATTTGGGGTGAAACGCGGACGATGAGGACGAGCTCTGAAGCCAAAATGTCCGTCTCCTTCCAGTGTCCTGTGAATGATTTGGATAACAACGTGGCGTTTATCGGCACCTATCAAACCATGACCAAGAAAGCGGCCATCACCGTCCAGGTAACATGGTAACCGAGTGATGGCAGCCATTTCCTTCCTGTAGGTCACTTGTGTAGAGACAGAGAGACATTCGTGTCCATCGCTGTGTCAGCCTGGCTCAGTGGGTAGCGCTCGCTCTCTCTCTCACCTCTAAATCTGAAGTTTGTAGGTTCACGACCCCCATATTGAGGACTTGAACTCACACAGTCTAAGCTGACGCTCCAATGCAGCCCTGGGCGGCGTCACATTGTCACAGACGCTATCCTTTGGATGAGACGTTAAACCGAGGTCCTGTCTGCCTGCTAAAAGATCCCATGTCGCTATTCGAAAAAGGGAAGAGAGTTTCTCTCTCTCTCTCTCTCATTCTCCGGTGTCCTGGCCAACAATCCCCCAAATAAAATCAGTCGCTCACTCCGTGACTGTTTGTGGGGACGCTGCTGTGCGCAAACTGGCAGTCGCATTCCGCCCACAAAATACGCAGTCAAAGCCGCTTTACAGTATATTCTGTGAAGCGCTTTGAGGCATCTCAACAGCGTGATAAGGCACTGTGTCAAATGCGAGGGTTATTATTGTTATTATTATCCCTCTTGCTTCCAACCCGCAGCTCAGGTGCAACCCTTAACTGTCCAGCACCTTGGCACGTCCTTCCAACGTGAAAGACATTATATAAATGTGATTTTCTTGCTGTTGTTTACTAACGGCTGTTCCGTGTCTTGGCAGAAAAAGGACTTCCCTAGCAGCAGCTTCTACGTGGTGGTGGTGGTGAAGACAGAGGATGAGGCGTGTGGTGGCTCATTGCCCTACTACCCTTTAAAACAAGGTACAGCATTCATCTCAGCCAAAGCCAAGGCCAGAGGCCCATCAGTCTGGGTTAGGATCAAACAAACATAGGAACAGGAGGAGACCTTATTCAGCCCATTAAACCTGTTCTGCCAGTTTAATAGATCACGGAATAGCTCTATGTCCACACACCCAAACAACAATTCCTGAAGCGAAGTGTTCAGGAAGCGGGCGGGACGAAACCTTTGGGACATTTCCTTACTCCACTCTTAACACCTTTGTAAACAAAGGAACCCGATTCTTAGTTGGTTGGCTGATCGCTTTCCTGGGGTAATAAACCCTTGAAAAAAAATATTTGCACTCAATCCACGACTGTTTGTGGGACACTGCTGTGCGCAATTGGCTTCTCCGTTTCGCCAGAAAAAGTATATAGTCAATCCACTTTACCAACTCCTTCACCTTCTCTTTCTAGACCTCCACCTTAGCCTCTTCATCCGCCCTGGTCTCTCCTTCCCACCTTTAAAGCCTTTCAAGTGCTTTGAGATGTCCTCCCGACATGGAAGACGTTGCGTAAATGTAAAGTGTCGTTGTTGTTGTTTATTGTAATATTCCTTGCCTTTGCTAAAGCGCCATATCACGGCGTCGAAACGTTTCAAAGCGCTTCACAGGATTCAAAGTAAAGTGGAGTGACTGTGTTTTGTGGGCAAAACGCGGTAGCCAGTTTTGCGCACAAAAATGTCCCACAAACAGCCGAGGAGTGAGTGACCAATTTTATTTGGGGGAATGTTGGCCCGGACACTGGGAAAGGGAAACACCCTTCTCTTTTCGAATAGCACCGCGGGACCTCGGTTTTAACACCTCATTTGAAGGTTGGCATCTCCGACAATGCAACACCCCCCAGTGCTGGATTGAAGCATCATCTTAGATTCCAAGTCCCGACATGGGGGCTTGAACCCACAACCTTCCGACTCGGAGGCGAGAGAGAGAGCGCTGACACACAGTTTGCAGTTATTCTCTCTCCTTTCTCTCTTTAGGTGAACCCGTGGATCAGGGGAACCGCAGTAAAACACTGAACGTGGTGGTGGTTCCTGCTGTGAAATGTAAGCTGTTCAGTTCCGCCTCGTGCTCCGGGAGTTCAGTTGATTTATATTAACACTCGCAGGCTGTGGTTGACACTGACGTCGCTTCCTGTGTACGAGGCACAAGGTCCTAAGTGAGTTCAGGGCTCAATGAATGATGAGCACCAGTGCTATAGACGGTGTGCAGGTGTGCAAACTCTCACTGACCTGCTATAGCACTGGTGCTCATTATTCATTGAGCCCTGAGCTCACCTGGGACCTTGTGCGCTTGCACAGAAGACTTGACTTCAGAGACCCGATCACACCCTGCTAAGCGTCGGATTTTATGGCCCCCGAATCCACACCCTCCCTTATAGCTGTAATTGTTATAACATGGACGGTCAGTGATATTTCCTCTCCTCTGTTTCCCCTCCACAGCGGAGGCGTATGTTAAGGGCATGTTGTTCGGGCTGGGCGTGTTTTTGGCATTCTACCTGCTCACATTGTTGATCGCCTGTTGGGAGAACAGTAGGTAAGGACATTAAACTCCTGCTAACTCATCACTCCAAGAGAAAACGATGAGCTATCGGGAGTGGCGAGTTAGGCGTACATACACATGTACATGAATAAATTCGGCCGCAATATTTGCCATAACTTTGGTGGCCGTGACAAATTAAGCCAGGGTTGAGTTATCTGGAGTTTTATGTATTTAAGGCTTTTTTTTGTTAAGGACATTGTCATGCCCTCTGTCTTTCAAACACTACATAGGCCAGTTACCTTTGACTTATTTGCATTACCCACAGTTAACAAACGGCCACTATCGATAACGGTGATTACCTGTGAAACGTGTTGAGACGTTATAAGCGCAAAATAATAGTAATAATAATCCTTGCATTTGATACAGCGCCTTATCACATCGTTGAGCCGTCTCTAAAGTGCTTCACAGAATATACTATAACGTGAATTGACTGTATATTTTGTGGGCGAAACATCAAGCGTTTAACCTAATTTTTTTAATAATAATAACAGAACACAACAAAAACAAATGGCGCTTTCATTGCTACTTTAACTTACTGATTCAGTTCTCTTCCCCCGACCCCTTAACCCCCTCCATCATTCAGTCAACAGAAGAAAAAAGACAAACTCTTGGGAAAAATGCCTTTGTCTCCTGATGAATGTGGTAAGAGGCCGTCTCCGTTGTGAGGTGCTGTCTATATAGTTGTACTGTATGCTTTGCCATCTTGGGGCCAAATTCCACCTGGTTTCAGGCTCGTGGGGAAGAAATTCCAACCCGGGTGTAGATTCGCTCGATTTACGCAGCATTTCAGAACTCGGAAGTGTCTGATTCTGAAGCTGTTTATTTTCTGTAAGTTTCTTCTAAGAACTGTGTGTGAGAAACATTGATCTTGTAACGTTAACAACAGCTTGCACTTATAATAATATTAATTATTATAATTATTATAAGACCAACTTGGTCTTCTTTGATCTAGTAATTCTTCTGTTCTTGACTCACGTCTGGGCCCTTTCTGATATGTTCCTCTATAATGTCTCTCCTCCTCGCCGCTGATTTTTGTTAACAATCTTCCTCCTCTTCATTCTGCTCTCCTCTGGCTTTCGGTCTCTTCTGATTGATCTGTAAACCAGATCCATTAATAGGTAAGGCTTAATTCTTCCAAATGGTTTGCTCGGTCAGTTACTGTAGCGTCCCGAAGCGCTTGTTAGAGTGGGACGAGACATTAGGAAGTTTCTTTACCCAGCAGTAAGTAGGAACATGGTTGTTTGTCGATTGGTGGAGCAATTTTACGGAGGTAATAATCTCTTAAAGAAAATCTGTTCAATCCACTCAATATATGAAGGTATAACAACAAAAATTACATTTACACAGTGCCTTTCACGTTGGGAGGACGTCCCAAGGTGCTGAACACTCAAGGATTTGCACCCAAGCTGGGAGTTGGGATCAGGAAGGGGTGGAGGGCAGGAAGAGGGTTGGGTTTGGAGGGTGATCAAACGCGCAGTCGAAGGGAAGGGTCTTGAGAGAGGCCTTGAAGGGGGCAAGGAAGGATGAGGGGGGGGGGCTGCGAGGCGGAGTGACTGTGGGATGAAGTTCCAAAGGCGTAAAATAAAATTCCTAAAAATGTGTGTAATTATAAGATTTATTTATAACAAAATACATATAAGATTCCCATCGTTTCTCGTGCTGTTTGCGAATGTTTCTGACGTCCATTCTCTTGCAGTGGGGGGCTACAGCCCTCAGACCCCAGACCTGTACACGGGGAGTGCAGCTTGTCACAGCTATGGCTCCTTGGGTGAGTTACATCAACCCACACATCATTGATCCTACACATGTGGAGTTAGGCTCACATCCAGGAGTGCGTTGCTGCCAGATGTTAACAGCAAAATCTAATGCTTTTGGGCAACGTAATATAATAATAGTCCTCGCATTAGATACAGTGCCTCATCACGTCTTTGACATCTCCAAGCACTTCACAGGTTATACTTAAAGTGAATTGACTGCGTGTTTTATTGGTAAAACATTCCTCAACCCGCTATCTTTACTAAGTTCATCTTCCCTCTTCTCCCCCCCACCCCCTATGCCCTCCACCCCTCTCAGATCCCAACCCGCAGCTGGGCTACAAACCCCTCATTGTCCCACTTTCCAGCGCCTTGGCACGATTTTGACGTGAAAGGTGCTGTATAAATGCAATCTTTTGTTGTTCCTCTCCTCAAGAAGCCATAGCCACAAAATTACTATCTCCCATTGTAAAAGACGTCATGAAAGAGTATTATTTTCAGCAACTAGTGTCTGTTAGATCTCTGTGCTTACTGTTTATAAGTGAGCACTTGTTGAGTACAGTGACAAAAGTAAAGGCGCCACACCTGACTTTCAAGAATAACCTGATGCCGTTAGTCAATTATTTTAACAGTTATTGTAGATTAATTCCAATATGCAAAACATGCTTTAGTCTTTCTCTTAAGGTTTATGATTTTTGGAGTCCTGTAGCTCGGTGGTTAGAGCACTCGTCTCGCAAGTGAGAGGACTCAGGTTTGATTCCCGGCAGGACGAAACCCTGGGCAATTTTCCTTACTCCATACGCCTGATAATAATCCCTTGAGAAAAAAAATCAATAATAAATTGGTCACTTCAATCCACGGCTGTTTGTGGGACGCTGCTGTGCGCAATTGGCTGCTGCGTTTCGCCCACAAAATATACAGTCAATTCACTTTATAGTATGTTCTGTGAAGAGCTTTGTGACGTCTCGAAGACATGAAAAGCACTATATAAAATGCAAGGATTTTTATTATTATTATTACCTTGAGTGTTGTAAATCCTGTTTAACAGATACCTAAAAGGAGGTCATGGTAAAAACACTGTATTTTTACAAAGCATTGCTACTGATAATAACAACATCTTGCATTTACACAGCAAGTATTTATCCATCACCTCCTTTTAAATATCCCAGTTGAATTCCTTCAGGATAGCAGACTGGACCATTGGTCTACATTCTCCCAACACTCTACTCTGTGAGAAATCATTTCCTGATCTCATTTCCCACTTGTAACTGTTGTCCTGTTGAACCCACTGATATTGATGCCATGACCCCTCGCTTTGGACCCCTCTACCAGAGGCAGAGTTGCCCACTATCTAGCTTCTTAATTCCATTCAATCCAATCTCTAAGGTCCGCTCGACTGGCTCCGGCCTCCTGCTTGTCCCTGGTGTCCTCCGTTCCACCATTGGTGGCCCACGCTTATAGTCACTACACCCCGAAACTCTGGAAAACGCTCCCTCTATCCCTCCGCCTTGCCCCCCATTCTTCCCCATCTTCAGATCGAGCCTGAAGACCTCCCTTTTCGATCCCGACTACTCCCCCACCCCCCCCAACTCGAAATCATGCTCTGCTGCTGTCAAGCCCTCGGGGACCCTACTCTGCGTGAGGGGGCGCTGTGTGCAAGTTGTTGTTGCTGTTGACCAAGAGTTCCAATTTCCATTCATTCCTGCAGAGAATGGCTCGATCCTCGGCTCGGAAGCAATCACAGACAGTATGACTTCAGATTCTACCTACGGATACATGGGTAAGGCAGACTGTGGCATCTCCTTCACTCTCCGCTCGATACCCAGGCAAACAGTTAAGACTTTGTTTCTGATTTTCATTGCATATTCAAGTTGCAAACACTCCCAGTTAGATTACAGCCTCTTTGTTGGCAAGCTCAGCCCTTACAAGATAAGAGACCAGCTTGTGTTTAATTCGGTAAACTATCAAATGAACCGAACACAGGTCCCAAGTTCAATCCATGTTGACGTTAGTTGTTCAGTAACTCTCAGCTGGGTGACAGTCAGAGACTGGAGAGACTATAAAAGGCTGTAGCTGTTGGATCCATTCACATTTTCAAGACTGAGGTGGATAGATAATAATATAAAATAATAATCCTCGTATTTGATACAGCACCTTATCACATCTTCGAGACGTCTCCAAGGGCATCACAGGATATATTGTAACGTGAATTGACTGTATTTTGTGGGCGAAACGCGGCAGCCAATTGCACACAGCAGCGTCCCACAAACAGTCATGGATTGAAGTGACCAATTTATTATTAATAATAATCGACTAACCGGTGTCCTGGCCAACAGTCAATTCACTAACAGCCAGGTTCCTACTGACTGTTAGGTAAACAGAGGTGTGTGGAGTAAGGAAACTTGCCGAACTTTCTCCCTGCCCGGGCATCGAGCACAGGTCTCTTGCTTGCGAGGTGAGTGCTCTAACCACTGAGCTACAGGACTAGATTTTTATTAGGTCAGGATGTCAAGGGATATGGGGCAAAGGTGGGTATTTGGAGTTGAAGTACAGATCAGCCATGAATGGCGGAACATGCTCGAGGGGCTGAATGGCCTACTCCTGTTCCTATGTGCTTAGCCATCCACAAACTCGCTCAGGAAAATGAGCCTCTGTCTCGTTCGTTAAAGTTCTGTGAAATTGCTTTTACCTCACTAGGGCAAGACTATTACAAAAGAGACCACTTCCAGCTCCGCGTCAGATATTTTGACATCGGTAGTGTCTTTTCATAGAACCAAAATTACCTTCCAAAACCCTCGGCAAAATCAAGAGAATAAATCTTGCAGCAGAGATTTGCTTGGCATGCCCAATTATATCTCAATCACAGAGATCCTTCATCGAGAATATATGGACTTGGCAGTTTCAGGGCACAACAACAATAATAATAATAATATTAATAATCTTCATGTTTGATACAACTCCTTTTACCTCCGAGGACATCTCAAAGAACTTCACAGGACACACTGTAAAGCGCAGTGACTGTGTGTGTTTTGCATCGGCAAAACAAAATATTTGGTCAGCCAACTGTGCTCAATTGGCCGTCACGTTTCGCCCACAAAATACACAGACTACTTTGCAGTATAATAATAATCTTTGCATTGGATGTAGTGTGCCTTATCACGTCGTAGGTGAATTGATTGTGTATTTTGTGGGTGAAACAAGTCGGCCAATTGCACACAGCAGTGTCCCACAAACAGTTGTGGATTGAGTGACCAAATTATTATTATTATTTAATTTGTCGATCGTCTTAAGTTTGAGCCAGAAACTGCTAAGTTTTTTTTTGTGACGTGGATGATTGAATGTGATCTGTGAATCTATAAGTAGTTCCCTGAATGGAATTAACGCAGCAGATCTCAGTGTAACACTCCAGATCAGGGCTGTTTTTGCTGAGGTTTTAGCTGCATTCTGAAATCATTCCTTAAATAATTTACCAGATGAGAGGCCACAGCATTATTTCAGAATCAATAGATGTTGTTTCTTGATTCCTTCAATTTCTTCCCGCACGTGGGTCAATTATCTGATCGACTCTCGCACGCTTGCCAACCCCTTGGCTGTTGTCAAGGAAAATAGTTCTTTCCTGGTTCTGTTTGAAATCTTGGGGCTTCTCCACTCGCTGGCTGGCTGGCTGGCTGGTGTAGTGACTGTGCTTTGTTATTAACCTCTCCTCTCGCCCCCTCCCTCCGCAGAGCGGCCCCTGGAGACCGTGCCTCGCCCACGTATCGACTCCCTCAGCTCCATTGAGGAGGATGAATATGATACGTTGGCAGACATCGATTCAGATAAAAACGTGATCCGAACTAAGGTGCGTTTCCCGGGTTATATACGTTAGCACCACAGAGTGTCACAGAACCCAGATCTGTGTCAGTGTTTTTCTCCTCATAGCCATTAATTTTGTAATGTTTTTGACTCCTTCAAGGCGCGTCTCAAAACCCTCCTCTTCGATGCCTTCAGCCACCCTCCTAACCACCCTCCTACCCTCCTCCCTAACCTCCCTGACCTCCACCCTCCCCAATCCCGACCCCCAGCTCGGGTTCGAAACACTGACTGTCCAGCGCCTTGGGACGTCCTCCTGACCTGAAAAGGGCTGTGTTAATGTCATTTTGTATTGTATCTGATCCCCCTCTCCTCAACAACAACAACTTGCATTTGTATAGTTCCTTGTACACCAGATAGTATCTGGGAGCACTGACACCTTCCACAGCCAATTCCACATTCCACCACGTCTCGGTGTCATTTTTTCTAACCTCCCCTTTCATTCCTTTTCTTAAATCACAACAACACAATAATACAACAGCAACAACGTGCACTTATTCAACGCCTTACACGTATAGAAAACGTGTGTCAGCTCGGCAGAGTCGGTAGCGCGCTCTTTCTCGTCTTTTGAGTCAGAAAGTTGTTGAGGGTTCAAGTCCCCCCACGTCAGGACTTGGAATCACGTAGTCTAAGCTGACACTCCAGTCCAGCGCTGGGGTGGGGGGTTTGCACTGTCAGAGGTGCCGTCCTTCGGATGAGACGTTTAACCGATCAGTGTCACAGGAGAGTGAGGCAATAGTGAAACTTTAAAACTCTGATCTCAATGTTTATTCCCTCTTTATTGACAGAAATATCTGTACGTGTCGGATCTCGCCAGGAAAGATAAACGAGTTCTCAGCAAAAAATACAAAATCTACTTCTGGTTAGTACATGTGCATGTGAGATGATGATAATAATAATACTTAAATTTGATATAGCGCCTTATCACGTCATTGAGATGTCTCAAAGTGCTTCACAGAATACACCGTAAAGTGAGTTATTGAAGAGAGAGACTGTGACAGAGTAGAGACATACAGAAGCGGTTAACAAACCTGTAACACATTATATTGTCATGACATTTGGAGATGTTTTCAGAGCAGGGAATCCTCCCACTCAGCTCCTGTTAACCCTAATGTGTAGGGTGGTCCTAGCTGGACAAGCAGCGGGAAAGCTGGTCAGACAGTGCTCTTAATGCCAAGCTGTGCGGTTTTAACTAGTTTTAAAGTAAGACCATAGATTTACACAGTAAAACAGGCCATTGGCCCAACTAGTCCTTGCTTATGGTTATACCCCACCTGAGTCCATTTTGTCTTAAAATATCAGATCGAGCAAAATTGAGGAGAAATTCGAGCTCATGCTACAAAACCATCTCTACCTCAGAATTTACGAATTTTTTTTAGACAATTCTGCAGAAATTATCAACGACAAAACATAAGGAATAGTGTCACAGGCTTGTGGCTGGGTGGGTGCTTAAGAGAATCCAAACCAAGCTGAGAATTCCAGGCATCCCACCTACATGTGGAAATTTCAGAGATGGATTGTTGGAATAAAATGCGCTCTCTCTCTCTCTCTCTCTCTCTCTCCCTGGAGAGACGTATCCTGTTTACCTAACTCTGGATATATTAGGCGCAGGTTGGCAAGAGCCAAGGCTTGGTGACCCCAGAGTGTGGTTGCGGCAAGTGCTGGAGTCTAACCAGCTAAAACCACCAAGGTTGCCATTGATATCGCTGTGGGATTTGGAGGGTCAAGAGATTCTGAAACAAACTCGGGGCTTCCGATGTTATCTTTCAATTGAAGAGCCGACGACACTTATATGTTGGTGGTGGTGTTGTTAACCAATGTACTTTTGATCATCAGGAATATTGCCACCATTGCTGTCTTCTACGCTCTGCCCGTCATTCAGCTGGTGATAACATATCAAACGGTAAGAAGCGACAACACAGTAAATACACTACGAGTCTGACGGATGTTTTACCCGGCGCATTTCACATGGGGAGAATGGCTCAAAGCGCTTCCCAATGCTGACGCTGGAGCTGAGGCCTGAGGGAAGGGGTTGGTGGGGTTGTGTGAGGGGAAAAGAGGACCAAAAGCGCGGGTAGAAAGCTAAGTTTTGAGACTTGCCTTGATTGAGCGGACCCTGATGGAGTTCACGCTTCACCGCACAACTTACTTTGACGTGTAGTGACTGCACGCGAGCTATGCTGGCGATCGGAACGAGTCCTACGAAGCGGAGCGCATTGCGCGGTTCACGGCAAGAGAAACGTCTCATTTCACCCTCCGTCTCCTCCTCCTTCTCACGCAGGTCGTCAACATCACAGGAAATCAGGACATCTGTTACTACAACTTCCTTTGTGCTCACCCACTGGGGGTGCTGAGGTCAGTCAGTCAGTCAGTCAGTCGGTCACTGGGAGAATGTTGCTGGGCTCCGCTGTGTGGTTGAGTCAGAATTGAAAGCTCACATTACGTCCCGTTCATTCCCTGTGACAACCCTACCTTCCCTGTCCCTCCAGGTAACCATTACATTAGACCAGTTCCAAGTCCACGGCCACTCAGAACTGGATGGAGACTGTCTCCAACCCAACCCCTGATGATACCAGTCAATATCTTGTACATGGCAGTCAGTTGTGAAGTGATTGACCACAGTGGTGAGGAGGGGGAATTGTCGGCCAGAACTCCATGAGAGAGAAAAAAACAAATTATTTTCTTTTTGAATAGGCCATCTCCCCCATGACTTAATTGTGTGCACTGTATACTCAAGTATAATCCACACCGTACAGTCTTAACATACTGCAGTCTGATTGTAAAAGATCCAGAAGGAAGATGAGGAGAATTTTTTTTACGCAGCAAGGTTGGGGTGGAACGCACTGTCTGAAAGGGTGGGTGGAAGCAGATTCAATAATAGCTTTCAAAAGGGAATTGGATAGGGACTTGAACAGGAAACATTTGCAAGGCTATTGGGAAAGATCGGGGGGGAGTGGGACTAGTTTGGTTGTTCTTTCAAAGAGCCAGCACAGACACAATGGCCGAATGGCCTCCTTCTGTGCTGTAAGATTCTATGATTCTACAATTTGGTTCTTATCTTCAATCGCTGAAAGCGTCCTGTTTTCCAATGGTGTCCTATTCCTCTTTCAGTGCCTTTAACAATATCCTGAGTAACCTTGGATACATTATGCTGGGACTACTCTTCCTGCTTATCGTGCTACAGAGAGAAATTCTACACAAACGAGCGCTCCTACGCAATGACATCTGTGCCCTGGTACGAAATCTCCCTCTCACTCTTGTCATTTCACCTTGTTAGTGGTGTGTCCAGAAAGTTCCTTCCCCCCCACCCCACACCACTCTCCATGGCCTAGTGGGTAAAGGGACTTTGTTAAGCAGCTAGTTCTACAAACATGAGTTCATATCCCTGGTCCCTGCTCAGTTGGGGCTACATTTGATCTCAACGCAGGAAGAAGTCGGAACAGTATCTGCTCCTGTGAGAAATATCCCGGGCTCTTTGGGAAAGTCAGCCAATTGATGGAATTTCTGTATTCCTCCCCCTCCTCCCAGTGTGCTCTGGCCCCACCATCAGTGGTGAGCAGTCAGCCATTCTGCCCCCACTCTTCGTAACTTCATCCCTCCCTCCCTGTCAGCCTTCAAAAACCACCGTAAAATCAGCCTCTCCTCCTGCAGTTTGGGCCGCCTTTCCCTCCGCCACCCACTCCCCTTAGTATTTGCACACAAAGGCCAGTGGGAATCAGGAACGCTCCCCCTTCCTCAAAAGGCTGTGGGTTATGGCTGGATCCATTCACATTGTCCAGACTGAGGTGGCCAGATGTTTGTCAGCTCAGGGTATCAAGAGATATGGAGAATCGACTGCTAAATGGAATTGAGTTACCGATCAGCCACGATCTAATAGAATGGCGGAATGGGCTTGAGGGGCTGAATGGCCTCCTCCTGTTCTTATGCTCCACGGCTCCCTCCCTCAGCTCCTGTGAACCGCGTTCCGTCCTCACTACCCTCGTCTTGCTACATCCCACGCCTCGCCCTCGGACCAGCGGCTGTGATTTAATCGCCTCTCTCCCTGCAGGAGTGCGGAATTCCCAAGCACTTTGGACTGTTTTACGCGATGGGCACAGCACTGATGATGGAGGGTCTCCTGAGTGCCTGCTACCACGTGTGCCCCAACTACACCAACTTCCAGTTTGGTGAGTCAACCGCGTTCAGTGTGTTTAATGCAGTGAGAATCTCCCTTTCACAAAGAAGATCCTCAAACTTGTCTTCAAATCCCTTCATTCCCTGACACCTCCCAACCTCTCCGAACTGCTTAATTCCCAATCCACAACCCGCTGCCCCCGCTTGACTGGCACCAGCCTCCTGCTTGTCACTCGTGTCCTCCGTTCCACCATCGGGGGCCATACTTTCAGCCACTATGCCCCGAAGATCTGGAACACTACCCCTTCTATCCCTCTACCTTGCCCCTTCCTTCCCCACCTCCAGGTCGCCCCTGACCTCCCTCTTCCTGCTCAGTGTCGTGCGAGGATTATTATTATTATTATCGTCCAATTCTCCGCAACTGACATTTCTCTCTCTTGGGCTCCCAGACACTTCGTTCATGTACATGATAGCTGGCTTGTGTATGCTGAAACTCTACCAGAAACGCCACCCAGACATCAACGCTAGTGCCTACTCAGCTTATGCCTGCCTCGCCTTGGTCATATTCTTCTCTGTGTTGGGAGTGGTGAGTGGAGATAATAATAATGTTGATATACAATAATAATAATAATAACCCTTGCATTTGATATAGTGCCTTGTCACGTCGTTGAGACGTCTCAAAGCGCTTCACACAATATACTATAGTCTATTTCTTGGGCGCCTTGGGACGTCCTCCTGACGTGAAAGGCGCTTTATAAATGGAATCTTGTTGTTGTTGTGGTTGTTGAAACGCGGCAGCCAATTACGCACAGCAGCATCCCCACAAACAGTCGTGGATTGAGTGAATGAGAACAAAACAAACCTTGCCTGGGAATTGAACCCGGGGCCTCTCGCTTGCGAGGCGAGCGCTCTAACCACTGAGCTACAGGACTCCATCCACTTCTTCAATGTGGATTTCAGCCTCCCATACAATGACTAATGAAACTCCCTGTCTCTTTCTCCCCCCCACCCCCCCCCCCCCCACTCAAGTTCTTCTAATCAGTGCAGAAAAAGATCTTCACTGGGCAGGAAGCACATGTCCTTGAAATAATGGAAAGAATGTACCAGATAATAATAACAATCGCATTTGATGCAACAACAACAACTTGGATTTATACAGTGGCCTCCATCCTGGATGGCAGCGGCGTGGATGGCGCTATATAAATCCAAGTTGTTGTTGTTGTGCAGTGCCTTTGACGCCTCAAAGCACTTCACAGGATACACTAAAAAGCGGAGCAACTGTGTATCTTGTGGGCCAACGCGGCAGCTAATTTGCACACCTCAATGTGTCCCCCCCCCCTCACAAAACAGACATGGAGTGAATGGCCAGTTTTATTTGGGAGATTTCTGGCCACATTGAGATGTTTAACGTCCACTTGAACAGGCAGACAGGACCTTGGTACCATCTGAAGCAAGGCGTCTCTGACACACACATCTCCCCTCCCACACACCCCCACCCCGCAACCCCCCCCCCCCACCGCCAAATTCTGGAACGTCTAAAATACACCTAAGTCGTACATCTGCCCAATTCCCATAGAATATCCTGTAACTTATGCAAGTTTGGCATAACTTTGGCATAATTATCCCTCCAAAAAACCCAAAACAATAATAAATTGGTCATTTTCAATCCACGACTGTTTGTGGGACATTGCTGTGCGCAATTGGCTGCCGCGTTCGCCCACAAATATACAGTCAATTCACTTTACAGTGTGTTCTGTGAAGCGCTTTGGGACGTCCTCCCGACGTGAAAAGCGCTATATCAAATGCAAGGATTATTATTATTATTATAACTTATACTTTGCATAAGTCATATTAAACTTATAGTCCCAACTGATATGACTTATGTTGAGATTTACTGTAATCAATCTAGAACCGGGTTGGATTTCTCCCCCAACAGTGAGGAGTAGAACCAAGTGATCAATCTGCCTGGTTTAGAAGTGAGAACTCAGCTTTCTCTGGGTTGGGAGGCAAGAAAAAAGTAACCATAAAACTTGCATTTTAGTTCAGAGATTGTTTGCCAAAGGTGACCGAACATTAGGAATTCTGAGGGAAGAAAACCTGAACGATATTCTCGTGTTGGTTTTCTCTCCACCAACTTATCTCCAATTCTTCGTAGGTCTTTGGGAAGGACTACATTGTGTTCTGGGCTGTGTTCTCCTTCATACACATCCTAGCCACACTTCTGCTCAGCATCCAACTCTACTATATGGGTCGTTGGAAACTAGGTAACTATCCAGTCTTCATGATTGCCCTTCTCTGTTCCCTGTGCGTTCTTTCTCTCTCTCTTTAATTCACTGGGTCCTGTGCCTTGGCTTAGACTATGGAGAATTGTTGTAGAATTGTCCACCTGAATAGGGTACAGCTGGGAATTCAGGTTAATGAACTGGTCTCTTTTTCAGACACGGGAATCTGCAGAAGAATAATTCACGTCATTTACACTGATCACATCAGACAATGCAGTGGACCCACCTATATCGTGAGTATTTTCTTTTAATAAATTATTGGAAATTGCTAAAATAATAATAGCAAACAAGTTCTAGCAAACAAGTATTTGACGAAAATAATATTCAAGGATACAGAGAAAGAGCAGGGAATGGGGTTAGAGTAGAGAGCTCCAGTGGGGAGTGAGCCCCAGCACAGACAGGAGAACTGAATGGATTCTTTTTGTGCTGTAAACCTTCAATGGTTGTAAAGTGATTCTGAGTTATACTTCTGATTTATAATTCCATTATTTTGGCTAAAGGGAGAATAATGGCTAAGGCCTCTGCAGTAACCAAGGCATCATTGAGGGGAGACCAACCGCCACATTGCCCGGCTCTTCAATGAGAGCTGGAGCTGCAAACATGTCCTCAAAACTGTGGACACGTTAGGATGGTCCTGGGTTAGAATTGCGCCATGAAACATACCAACCTTCATTCCCGTGTGATCCATGTCTGTTTTAAATCCTTTTTGTTTTTTGCTTTCTCAGGATCGTATGGTGTTACTTATCATGGGGAACATTGTGAACTGGTCACTGTGAGTATTTGGAGCACATTGTTATAGTGATCATGGCGTCAACTCTGTAGACACTTAATATCAGCAATGTTTGGGATCTCAGCTTCACAGTGTTTTGCAAATTACAACACAAAATACATTATACAAATGTAATTTGTTGTTACAATAATATAACATATTGTTCTTGTATCTCTTACAGGGCTGCATATGGACTGATTCTGAGACCCAAAGACTTTGCGTCTTATTTGCTCGCAATAGGGATCTGCAACTTGCTGCTCTACTTTGCCTTTTACATAATCATGAAGGTAAGCGATGAGGATAACTTCTCCTTTTCCTCCCTCCCTCCCTCCCTCCCTCCCCTGCTCCCTCCCTCCTCCAACTCTCCGCCCCTCCATCTCTGGCCAGGGCTGATCAAGTCTGACTCACAACCCTTGTCCTTGAGTTTCTAAGGAATTTCCACAACCGAATTCTGCCTGAGTCGATTCTCCAAAACACTTGGGTTGGGTCGGGTCCAGATAGGAGCGAAAATCACTGTGTAGCCACTTTCTGTGCCATCAGAGGGAGACATTGAGCAAAGGCTCAAGATTTCTCCATAGAAAATGGGGCAAAAGTGTTAGTTGTTCGTGTGCGCCACCTGTTGGCAGAATGCAGAACAGTATTGCCAGACAACAGGGAAGTCAAGACACTAAATTATGTAATAAAAAAAAGGTTTAAAAAGCAAAGCACTTTGCGTGTCTCCGGCTACGTGAAGCTCTATCGCCCACGGATCATCAACACACGTAGATACTCTTCCTGCCATGTATTTGTCACGATAAACACATAGCGAAATGCTCGTGAATGTGGGTGATTATGTGTGGGGGAGTTTTTTTTGTGTGTGTGTGTGTGTGTTGGTATAGGTGTGTGCACTGGGGGTGTGTATGGGTGTTGGTATGTATATATGTTAAGTGACAGTCTGTGGTCATGCAGCACATGGTACACAACTTCTTCTTCAACCACGCCATCAGTCATCCTACTGCCCCAGCCTCTTTGCCCTCCACCCCTCCTGATCCCAACCTCCAGCTTGGGTGCAAATCCTTGACTGTCCTCCCGGCGCGAAAGGCCCTGTGTCAATGTCATTGTTTTTGTTGTTGTTGTTGCAGTGAAACTATTAATATTATCTTCATTACCGCAGTTGCCATTGCAACTATTTTGCTGCAGGCGTCTGACGCCGATTTTCTCTCTCTCTCTTAGTTACGGAGCGGTGAAAAAATCAAACTGATCCCTTTGATCTGTATCCTCTTCACAGCCGTGGTCTGGGGCTTCGCTCTCTTCTTCTTCTTCCAGGGCCTCAGTACCTGGGAGGTAAGTCCCTCATCCTTTGGGTGAGGCGTTAAACCAAAGTCCCATCTGCCTGTTCGGATTTGGCGCTGTTCGAAAAGAGAACTGCGTTTCTCTCCCCCGGTGTCCTGGCAAACAATCCCCCAAATAAATTTGGTCACTCACTGTTTGTGGGACACCATTGTGTACAACTGGTATTTCGACCACAGAATTCACAGTCAATCCACTTTACAGTATATCCTGAGAAGAGCTTTGAGACGTCTCAATGATGTGATCGATCCCTTGGTTTCTGGATGGGACGCTGCAGAGATAGATTGAAGTCATTAACGTCAGCATTTGTGCAGCTGTTTCTTAATCATAATTCTCAACCCTCGCAGCAAGTTGGTGTTCACTTGTGGCAATGATCCCAATGCAAATTTCGGCATTGCACATTATTTAGCAGCTCTCACAATCTGGGAATTGGCAAGGCTCATTATTTAGCAGGTCTGACTATATTGGAATAATACAATAACAACACAATTTACACAGTAAACTGGAACTCTCTCTCCCTCCCACCCCAAAGGCTGTGGATTATGGCTGATCCATTCACATTTTCAAGACTGAGGTGGAGAGATGTTTGTCAGGTCAGGGGATCAAGGGATACAGGGCAAAGGGCAGGTAATGGGAGTTGAGGTACAGATCAGCCATGATCTAACAAAATGGTGGAACAGGCTTGAGGGGCTGAATGGCCTACTCCTGTTCCTATGTTATTTTGGAGGACGTGTCTAAGTGAACAGTATTTAGCAGCTATGTATCTGTGTGTGGTATGAGCAGTAAGGCTCATTATTTAGCAGCTCTGAGCCCCTCTTTCTCGCCTTTTACAGAAAACTCCCGCCGAGTCCCGAGAACACAACCGGGATTGCATCTTGCTGGATTTCTTCGACGACCATGATATTTGGCACTTCCTGTCCTCCATCGCACTCTTTGGCTCCTTCCTGGTAAATGAGCGGCACAGATTCTCGGGCAGGGTGAAATGTTGGGCAAGTTTCCTTATTCCATACGCTTCTGTTTACCCAGCAGTAAGTAGGAACCTGGTTGCTAGTCGATTGACGGATTGATTTCCGGGGGTAATAATTCCTTATCAAATGCAAGGATTATTAATATTACAAATGTTTTCCTCCTCTGACTGCCATTCCCTCCCTCTCCCCAGGTGCTGCTCACCCTAGATGACGACTTGGACCGAGTGCAGAGAGATAAAATCTACGTCTTCTAACCCTCGGAGCAACGGACATTAAGGAGCGCAGGCATCTCCCCGCCATGATTTTACAGCAGTCTCTGCCTTCACCACGTGGATGCCTGGAACCTCCGATGGGTAGGGAGTACGGACGTGCCACCTAGCCATAAAATGAGGCTTCAGACGCCATGAGTACACAAGGCGCCATTCAGAGCTGGAACCTGTCGGCCTAGAGATGAACCATTGCCCTTAAGACCAGCCAACCTGCTCTTTGTGACACAGAGTAACGCCAGCTGCTTCTCTGAATGCCCGGGAGATGCTGAACTTGTCTTGGGAGAGGGACGGCTCAGTCCACTCCTCATACGGTACCTAAGTGGGGGGGGGGGGTGGGGGGGGCAGGAAGGAAGCCACCTCACCATCTTACATCATGTTGGAAGAAAGAAGTCGATTATTTTTTTTTCATATTCTCTCGCTTGACGCGTTTCAGAATTTTATGGGGGAAGGGTCCTCAATGGCAAAAGCTGAAGCTGGATTGAAAACGTTGACGGTGGATTGTTAGCAATGATGGCACTTTCCTCACGCGGAGATGCCTTCGACAACCACGGCTTATGCACGTTCTTCTGGTTTATGTCTTCTGGTTCGAAAATTCAAAGCAAAATGCGATTGGGACGGCCCTTTTTTTTTACACCCCCGGGGTTACTGTGAGCGAGCAGAAGATGAGCCCAGCTTTTTCTTGTGTGTCTGGGTCCGCAGTACTCCAGGGCACGGGAACATAGAGGCAGGAGGAGGCCATTCAGCCCCTCGAGCCTGTTTCGCCATTCTATTAGATCATAGCTGATGTGTACCTCAAGTCCTTTGCCCCATATCGCCTTGATACTCTGACCTAAACAAAAATTTATCCACCTCAGCCTTGAAAATTTGAATGGATCCAGCCATAATCCACAGGTTTTTGGGGGCGGGAGAGAGTTCCAGATTAACGTAGCCTTTGTGTGACAGCACATCCCACCCTGGCTCATCGGCAGGACTTGAATGGACAGACCAGTCACTGGGAGAGCAGGGTATCCTCCCACTCAGCTCCTGTCAACCATGCAAAGCAAGCCAAAGCCCTCATGGGTAGGGTGGTCCTAGCTGGACAAGCAGCAGGAAAGCTTGCCAGGCAACGCTCTTGTGTACTCTTGCCATACTCGAGGGGAGTATTGATGGGGTTTGATGCCTCCGACTCGCTGCTTTGACACCTCGTTTGAGAGACTCGTTTGTTTCCACTCAACAGAGTGAGAAACTGCCAGGAATCTGCTCTGTACGTCCGAAGGGGAAGAGGCTTTTTTTTTTTAAGATATTGATTGCAAATATCTGAAGTGCTTTTCAGCGTTTATTATCAACTGCAAGGATCAATGTTGTTATTTATTTATTATGCTGATGATGTGGGAGGTGAGGTTTTTATGCTGTCTCCAGTGCATGATGAAATGTTTCACCTCTCTTATTTAAATACGCTATTCCATCCATTTGGAGATTTGTGCCACTTTTTGGGTGGACTTGGCTCGTGACAACACAGAGACAACACACTCCCGGCCCCTGTAACACGCTCTAGTTATCGCCCCCCTCTCTCCCCCCTCCCCCCCCCCCCCCCCCCCCCCCGAGTGGGACACGTTTACTCCGATCCATTGATACCATAAAATCTTACAGCACAGAAGGAGGCCATTCGACCCATCGAGCCTATGCCGGCTCTTTGAAAGAGCTACCAACTAGTCCCACTCCCCCACTCTTACCCCAACTAGTCCCACTCCCCTACTCTTACCCCAACTAGTCCCACTCTCCCACTCTTACCCCAACTAGTCCCACTCCCCCGCTTTTATTCCATAGCCCTGCAAAAGTTCCCTTTTTGAGTACCTATCCAATTTCCTTTTGTCACAGTTCACTCGCTGTAACATGCGTGAAGAGTACTGATCGTACAGGGTGTCCACAAAGTCCTGTTACCCCTCCCCCCGTGCTTTTGTTTCTACACTACACTGCCTAACAACTGAAACGTGGGAGAATAATGATCATTGTATTGAGAAGCACTTCATTGTATTCAGTACAACTTTTTAACTGTATTTCGACATCCAGAGGATCAGTGTGTGAGTGTGTGTGTGAGTGTGGGTAAGTGTGTGTGTGTCATGTGTGAGTATGTGAGTGTATGTGTGAGTGAGTGTGTCCGAATGTGTGTGTGAGAGTGTGTGAGTACGTGTGTTTGTGTGAATGTGAGAGTGTGTGTGTGTGTGACCACCATCATTTTCATGGCAGATAATGATCCGTCGCCATGTTCAATGCAACATGGAGTGAGTGAGGAGGTGAGCTGTATCTCTGGCGGTTTGTTTCAGCTTCTCTGTAGTCACATACCGCTGTTTCGTAAGGGGGTGGTGGGGTGGGGGGGGTAACAGGACTTTGTGGACACCCTGTTCACTGGAGGGTATCACAGCCCAGAACCTGCCTGTCAGATATTGCCTACTGCCTACCTCACAGCTCAGCCCACTTGCCCTCATTGAGGTGGATCACTGCTGTTGATCACATCCCCAATATAGCCTCTGGTAATCGAGACTCCATTGTGCAGCCATCTCAATGTGATTGTTTTGACGCCGTGTTACTTTGTGGACACAAGAAAAAAATGAACCAAGTTATGATCCCTTTGCAAACCGCACGGCATGATATTGCTCCCCAGGGGCAGAGGGGCAAATGCTGCTGGAACTGGGATGCTGTTCGGCAACCGGAACTGATGTAACAGGAAGTGATGACCCAGAATGGTTCTGGATTGTAAAGTGCCTAAATTTGCTGTAATAAAATTCACTTTTGTTTTAAGGTTCAGATCCTGGAATCAGGTCACGAATCCGTTTGGTTAAAGTTTGCAAGGACACAAATTCGGATGCTCTGGAAGGTCTGGGGATGGGCGTAACGGGGAGTGGCGGGAGGGTGCGTGGGGAGAAGGTGCGGAGGACGATGTCCGAAACAACAACAACGACAAGTTGCATTTATATAGCGCCTTTCATGCGGGGTAGCATCCAGGAGTGTTTCACAGTGGCGCAGTCTGTCACGGATAAACAACAACAGCCGGGCGGCGTCTCAGAGCGCTTTATAGTTTAGGATCCTGGGACCGAGCCGGGGGAGGGGTGGGAAGGTGACCAAAGGTGCGGTCGAAAAGAAACACCGTTTAAGTGAGAATTAAGGTTTTCGGAACAAATCACGCAATGACGTTGGGGGTTTGGAAAAAAAGTCTTGTGCGTGTTCGCAATGTTCACATTCACGCCCTGAATGGAATCGGTCAATGATGAGGAAAGTGTATGTCGTTGTCTGCCATTGCAAAGAGAGTCTGTCCAGGAGTGGATTGGTTGGGGGAGAGGGGGGTGGGGGCGTGTGGTGGGGGGAGGGGACTAAATCGTTGGGGTTAAGGGGAGGGGCGAATAGATTGCTGGGGACCAATTTGATTTGCAAGTGTATGTTCAATGTATTTTGGAAATGGAGAGAATTGGAACGTCAGAGGTTCCGCGAACGACTGGTTGGATCCTCGCTCCACGTGTTCAGAACGAGCGAAGGTCACGAGTGAGCGTTACAATAACATAAGGATTTTGCATCCAGTTCGCCTTCCACCATGTCCCAAACTGTTATACTGTATCCCACCAGATTATTTCCTAACAGAAATCTTACCTCATTTATTATCTTAACACCAACTCGGAAATGTCCACACTCGGTGGGATCTTGACTTTGAATCTGTCTGTTCCTGCTTTGGTTAATTTGGTTTCGAGTGACTTACAATGAACATTTACTGTGCGGCTCCACCTCTGTAAGATGCTGTTAGCGTCTGAGACGTACTCGGATACAATAAACTTCCCCGCCCCCACCCCACCCCATGCCACCCCATCCCTCCCCCAGAACTACTCGGGTCTGGGGTCTGTTGGTTGGCGTACTCTCCACAGTTGCAATTTTTCCCGTCCCCTTTCCGCTTCTTTGTATTTGTGAATTACACAAATTCACAGGGAGAACCAGCGAAGTCTGGTGTGTGAAGGCTCAGGAAACATTGGGAGCCAGGAAGAGAAGAAAGCCATTCAGCCCCTCCAGTCTGTTCCGCTAGTTTCTGATGTCTTGGCAGGATGAGAATGAGAATTTCCTTTACTCAGCGAGTTGTTACGGTCTGGAATGCGCTGCCTGAAAGGCTGGTTGGCTGTTGCGTTTCACACAGGAGTCCTGTAGCTCAGTAGTTAGAGCACTCGCTTTGCAAGCGAGAGACCTGGGTTCAATTTCAGGCAGAGGGCGAAACCTTGGGCAAGTTTCCTTACTCCACACACCTAATAATAATCCCTCCAAACAAAATAAATTGGTCATTTTCAATCCACGACTGTTTGTGGGACATTGCTGTGCGCAATTGGCTGCTGCGTTCGCCCACAAATATACAGTCAATTCACTTTACAGTATATTCTGAAGACCTTTAAGACGTCTCAAGGCGCGATATCAAATGCAATGATTATTATTACTATTAAGATTCTATGATCTTTATATCCCAATGCCACGTACCTCTTCCCCCTAAGTGTCCGTCCATCTCTCTCGTTTCTGCGTTTGGTGACGTCTTACACAAAACTTATAAAATTATAATAAAACAAGACACAACGACTTGGATTTGTGCAGCGGCTTTCATTGTAAACGGAACTTCTCGAAACACTTCACCGAGACCATGACACGCACCGAAACTCTTCTCTATCGTTTCGAGGGAAGTCAAAGTCCATTTTGCTCAAGCAAAGACAGATGTGACTTTTGCGATCTTATCAGCCAAAGCAATTTGTTTCTTTTTTTAACATTTTATCGCCGATCTCAAAAGCAAATACTCAACGACACCTCGGCCATTCACTGCCACCAAAGGCTGCACCTGTCAAGTGACCCAGTTGGGCTTAGGATTTGAGGCCATTTCTCTCGATTTTCCCCACCAGGTCCCTGACCACAGCCACCAGCAGCTGGATGTCTTCATCGCGTGTCATACGATGGTCTCCGCTCCTCCGCACCAGCAAGTCCACATCCCGGCTGGCAAGTCGCTCTGCCAAGTGTACAGAGTTCTGCCAGGGTACCAGCTCATCCTCCATGCCATGGATGAGTCTGACCGGGCAGGAGATGGGCACAGTCCCCTGGAGGAGGCAGTGGTCCTCAGCTTCCTTCACGAAGTCCATCTTGATCGTGTAGAAGCCGCTGTCAGCGTATTTGGAAGCCACTGTCCACTGACCTGTTCTCTCAGCCTCCTGCCTTGACTGAAAACAACAAGATATACGCACCAAAAGAAACTGGCACTCAAACGAGAAACTTGGGAGAATAAAGCACTTGTCAAAATTTGATCTCCTTTGAAGGATTGTGACAACAAGTTACATTTGCAAAGCACCTTTCAAGTCGGGAGGATGTCCCAAGGCGCTGGACAGTCAGGGATTTGGATCCGAGCTGGGGGTTGGGATCGGGAGAGATGGAGGGTGGGGAGGATCGGGGTAGGAGGATAAACGAAGACGCGATCGAAGAGGAGGGTCTTGAGACGGGCCTTGAAGGAGGCAAGGGAGGAGGCGAGGCGAAGGGACTGTGGGATGGAGTTCCAAAGGGTGGGGGCGGAGAGGCTGAAGGCCCACAAATGATGGATCAATTGAAATTTTCAAGACTTGAGGTGGACAGAATGTTTGTTAGGTCGGGGTATCAAGGATATGGAGCAAAGGTGGATAAATAGAGTTGAGGTACAGATCAGCCGTACATTGGCGGAACAGACTCTAGGGACTGAATGGCCTCCTCCTGTTCCTACGATTGTGTTTCAGTTGTCTTACCTCAAGGGGGAGCTGTTTGTAAGCGTTTACAAAGTGATCAGTGGCGGTCGCTATGCCGACCAGACCAACAATCTTCTCGGGGCGAGCCAGTCCAGCGAGGAGCATCAGCCACCCCCCCATACTGGAGCCCACCAGAACCTGGGGAGCGAGCAACAGCGATAGCACGTTATAATAATGATGATAATAATCCTGGCATTTGATAACCTTATCACGTCATTGGGATAACAACAAATTACATTTGATATAGTGCCTCTCGTGGCTGGAGGACGTCTCAAAGCGCTTCACAGAATATATTGTAAAGTGGAGTGACTGTATAATTTGTGAGCAAAACGCAGCAGCCGATTGCGCACAGGAGTCTCCCACTAACAATTGTGGATTGAGTGACCAAATCTCTTTTGGAGGGATTATTATTATTATTATTAAGGAAACTTGCCTAAGGTTTCGCCCCGCCCGGGAATCGAACCCAGGTCCTCTCACCTGCGAGGCGATCACTCTAACCACTGAGCTACAGGTTAGACAGATAGAAAGTCACGTCAGGAGGACAGATCAAAGCAGGATTTACTGTAAAGCGCAGTGACTGTGTGTTTTGTAGGCTACCAATTTGCCACAGTGACATTCCCTGCAATCAGCCAATGAAATGCTTGTGCTGGGAACAGGCTCAATAGGCTCGTCCTGATCCTTTAAGTCATTAACAACACACGTATTTTGACCCAACTTGATCTGACTTGGATATAGAAAGAGTTATAATATAAGCCCCCAAACCCTCTCCCCAGCCTCCCCAATGCAGACCTGTGGTCCTGTGGTCAGATTGTCTAAGACCGAAAGCACGTCATTCTTCCAATTTCCTAAGAAGCAACTGTCGGCATCTCCTTTCGAGCTCCCACAACCAGTGTAGTCAAACCTGGACAGAACAGCAAAGAACCCTTCAGAGAACGGTCTTACAGCCGAATATAATGACGACAGTAATAATCCTTAGTGTTAGAAATAGTGCCTGTAACGTCAAAGCATCTCAAAGGGATTCACAGAGGGTTTGTGTCAAGCCTAGCGATTTTTATACCAGTTTGACATCTCATCTGGAGGATGGTCGCCCCGACAATCACTGACACCCACCCCCACTTGCTCCCCACCGACTTCCCCCCAATCAAAGTGGTCTCAACTTAGGGCTTGAACCCACAACCTCAGAATCGTTCCATTTGATTCAGCGACTTATCACATTTTTTAGATGTCTCAAAGCGCTTCACAGAATTATATTGTAAAGTGAAGTGACTGTGCATAGTGTGGGCAAAACGCAGCAGCCAATTGCACACAGCAGCGTCCCACACACATGTGTGGATTTGTGACCCAATTTTTTTTTGAAAGATTATTACCCCCGGAAAGCTATCCACCAATTAACTAACAACCGGGTTTCTACCGACTGCTGGGTAAACAGAGGAGGGTGGCGTAGGGAATCTTGCCTAAGGTTTCATCCCGTCCGGGAATCTAACCCGGGTCCTCTCGCTTCCGAGGCGAGTGCTCCAACCACTACACTATGGAACGTCTATTTATAGAAAACCTGTTTGGGAAATTGTCTTTCCAATAAAGTACCAGCCGTTCACATTAACTGTCTTTGTTTCTCCCCCGAGGGTGTTGCTGGGAGGCAGATTCGCTACCTGACAAATGACCGGCCCTCAGAACGACAATACTCCTCCAGGGCCAAAGCCTTCATCCCATTCATGTTGGACCTGAAACCCGTTAGGAAGACAACACCAGGATTCTGCCCACAACTCCTGAAGTACGCCAGTGGGGGCAGGCCTTGGCGAGTGAGGAACTGAACACAGGCCATATCTGGAACAACAACAACAAACCATTTTCATTTACACAGCGCCCTTCATGTAGGGTCACATCTCAGCGCACTTCACAATAATCTACAGTGAACCTCAGTCGTATCAGTTGGGACCATACATTTAATATGACTAATGCAAAGCATCAATTATATCAAATTTGCATAGAATATAAACACTTGAACGTGACTCCCCAAATATCTGTCTGTCTCTCTCTCTCTCTCTCTCTCTCAGGCATCGTTATTAATTCTATTTCGCTGGGAGGATGTCTCAAAGAGATTCACTGTAAAGTGGAGTCACTGGGTGTTTGTAGGCGAAGGTGGCAGCCCAATTTGTGCAGGTGATTATACGATTTATATAGATCAGACTTCTGTGAGTTTTACTGTAATATAATAATAATAATCTGACAAAAGCTCATTGAACTGAAACGTTAAATCATTTTCCTCTCTCCATAGATGCTGCCTGACCTGCTGCGTGTTCCCAGCGACTTCTATTTTTATTTATTATTAATAATAATAGTCCTTGCTTTTGATACAGCAGCTTATCACGTCGTTGAGATGTCTCAAAGCGCTTCACTTAACATATTGTAAAGTGTAGTGACTGAGTATTTGTGGGCGAAACGCGGCAGCCAATTGCACACAGCAGCGTCCCACAAACAGTCGTGGATTGAGTGACCACATTTTGGGGGGAGGGGATGCATTATTCCCTCTGGAAAGCGATCCGCCAAACGACTAACAACCGGGTTCCTACTTGCTGTTAGGAAAACAGAGGCGTGTGGAGTAAGGAAGCACGGCTGAGGTTTCGCTGGGAGATGACAGGGTCTGACAGGGGGGGGAAGTGGGGGGACAAAGAGGTAGGATTTTAAGGCAGCGGAATGGAGGGCGTGTGGTGTGCCAAGAGGTTGGGGGGCACAGTAGCTGAAGGCACAGCCACCGATGACAAGAGCACAGGAACAGTCTGAAGGAAGGCCTTTCAGCCCTGAGAGCAGGCTTGATAGCTAAAGGAATGATTTCAAGGGCAATTGGCGGGAGACTAAGAGGTAATGACACTCACTGACTGCCCCCCGGGACAGGAAAGGAATGTGACCTTCAGCTGTCTGTGCTCACCACTGGCGTTAAGCGCTCGGTAATTGTTCTCCAAGCCACCGTCTACGCCTCCCATCGTCAATGACTCTTTGCGTCTTATTGTCATAAAACTCCTGCCTGGATTGGGCTGGACATTCCTCCCCCCCTCTCTCTCCCCCCCACCCCCCCCAAGAACGAGTTCTCCTCGTCTCATCAACCAAAACCTCTGCTGTGTATAAACGCACGCACAGTGACCTTGTATAAGTCTTATCTGTAGCTCTGTGGTTAGAGCACTGGCCTCGCAAACGAGACCCTGGGTTCGATTCCCAGCAGGTCAGAGCGAAACCTTGGGCAAGTTTCCGTACTCCACAACCCAGATAATAATCCCTCAAGAGAAAAGAATAAAATAAAATAATAATTTGGTCACTCAAACCACGACCGTCTGTGGGACGCTGCTGTGCGCAATTGGCTGCCGCGTTTCACCCACAAAATACACAGTCACTACACTTTGCAGTGCTGTGAAGCGCTTTGAGATGTCTCGAAGATGTGATCAGGCGCTATATCAAATGCAAGGATTATTATTATCATTATAACAAGATCAAATGACATTTGCAGAGCGCCTTTCACATCAGAAGCACGTCCCAAGGCATCTAAATTTATATATAAATCGTATAAATGGCCTAAATTCACCCGAGTCCCATTCAGGGCTTAATCACAGAAGCGAGCAAGGAAGAGAGAGAAGAAAGACATTGAACGGAGGCTTGAGGTGTGGCAATCTGGCAAAATGGTCTCCTATTTTTGTTAGAAAGAGATTTAGATCCTACGAATGCTCTGCAATCAATGCAAACAGACTCTGCACAGAGGCCATCAGTATCCAGTTTAGCTGAGCACTGTGTATTAATAGATCATATCAGTCTCTCTCACCCTCTGTCTGTCTGTGGGCAATCATTAGTCCCAGCCCAGCATTTCCTGCTGCTTAATGCACCATTTATCTTTTCATCAATTAAACCCCAGGATTGCATTCTCTCCCCACCCCACCCCAGTCCTTGTACCAACCTTCAGCTCTGGGTCCCTGTCTCCCACACACACAGACACACACACAGACAGTCACACACACACAGTACCTTCCAGCTCACACAGCTGTTCTCAGCAAACTGTGGGATTAGCTGCTTACGGTCATCAAAGAAGAACAAAACTCGAGAGGATTTTCTTTTTGAAAATCAGTCTCCACTTCCTTACTGCACTCTTCCTCTCTCTCTCTCTCCCTCTTTCACTTTCACTCTTTCACACTACAATAATAATAATCCTTGCATTTGATAGAGCGCTTTTCACGTCGGGAGGACGTCCCAAAGCGCTTCACAGAACACACTGTAAAGTGAAGTGACTGTATATTTGTGGGCGAACGCGGCAGCCAATTGCGCACAGCAATGTCCCACAAACAGTCGTGGATTGAAAATGACCAATTTATTATTGTTGTTGGTTTTGGAGGATTATTATTAGGCTCTGTGTGGAGTAAGGAAACTTGCCCAAGGTTCCGCCCTCTGCCTGGAATTGAACTCAGGTCTCTCACTTGCAAAGCGAGTGCTCTAACCACTGAGCTACAGGACTCCACACTTTTTTTCTGCCTTTCTTTTCAATGATATAAAATAAAACAAACTTTCTTTCGCTCACACTTTCAAATAATATAACAATAATTGTTGTTTTTCTTTCTTACACAATTTCTTTCTGCCGCTTTCTCCCTCTCCCGCCTTTTCTTTCTTGCCTGTGCTGTTCCTTCCTTCCTTAATGGGATTTCGGGTGAATTTAGGCCATTTATACGATTTATATATAAGTTTAAACACCTCAGGACGTCCTCCCGACGCGAAAGACGCTATACAAATGTCATTTGTTGTTGTTATAAAGATAATAATCCTTGCATTTGACACAGCGACTTATCAAGTGTTCGAGATGTCTCAAAGCGCTTCACAAAATATACTGTAAAGTGTAGTGACTGTGTACTTTGTGGGTGAATGTGCCTGCCTGATAGCCGATGAGGAAACTCTGAGGCTTGGGGCGAGTTTGTGACACTCGTTCGTACGTCCAGCGCCTGGAATCCACCTCGATTGGCCTGAAGAGAGGTCAGCAGCTGCTGCTAAAACTCCACACCTCCATCTGGTGGAACCATCGCTCAATGGGAAGGGGTGTGGACTCGAGCTGCGGACAGGAAGACGGTGGAAATGCTCTCACGTATTTCATGCAGAGGCTGTGTTGCCCGCCGGCTCACAGGAAGTTCCTTCCATCCATCTAGTGAGGGCTCAAACCCACGCTTGTCGGGTGTGGAATGACCCAACTAATAATAATAATAATAATCCTTGCATTTGATATAGCGCTTTTCACGTCGGGAGGACGTCCCAAAGTGCTTCACAGAATACACTGCAAAGTGAATTGACTGTATATTTGTGGGCGAACTAGTGACTATCCTTCTTGCGGGGGAGGTAAGGAGGGTTTCCTTGGAGCTGAACTGGAACCAAAGTGACATGTTTGCCAACCAATTGTTGGAATCGAGACCCCCCCACCCCCGTGCCAGTCTCTAGTCCCGGTTCCTGAGCCGGAGGGGTCGTAGTATCCCAGGGCACTCACTGCTGATGGCCACACAGCCCGGCTCATCAGCAGGACCTGGAAGGGCCGCCCAGTCACTGGGGGCAGAGAATCCTCCCCCTCAGCTCCTGTTAACCCCGCAGCCAAAGCCCTAATGGATAGGGTGGTCCGAGCTGGACAAGCAGCGGGAAAGCTTGGCCAGACAGTGATATCAATGGAAAGCTATGTGGGTTTAGCTGGTTAGACTCCAGCAGTTACCCCAACGCACACTCTGGGCTCCCCCCAAGCCTTGGCTCTCGCCAACCTGCGCCTAATACTTTCTGGAATTAGGTAAACAGGGTACATCCCTCCAGAGAGAGAGAGAGAGAGAGCGCATTCCATTCCAACAATCTATCTCTGGAATTTCCATATGGAAGTGAGATGCCTGGAATTCGCATCTTGGTGTGGAGACTCTTAAGCAACGGTGATGGGTTTGCACATGTGCCAAGACACCCGGCTGACCAAAAGAAATGTTTTTCCTCCTCTCAGTCTTTTTCTTTCTTTCTTTCTTTCTTTCTTTCTTTCTTTCTTTCTTTCTTTCTTTCTTTCTTTCTTTCTTGCTTGCTTGCTTGCTTGCTTGCTTGCTTGCTTGCAATGCTTCCTTCCCCCTTCCTCCTTCCTTTCTTTTTTTTCTCTCTCTTCCTTTCTCTGTCTCTCTTTCACCTTTTTTTTTGTCTTGTCCTTTGTTCAATTTCTTTCTCTTTCTCTTTACTGTTCTCTCTCTCTCTCTCTCTCTCTCTGCTTCCTGCTCTCAATTCGTGGAATGCATCCTTCCACACTCTCTCAAGTGAAAAGCGTTCATTTCCTTACTCATTTTTGGGAACTGAAGTGAGTTTTCCCATTGATTTTGTAGATTGAAATCTGGTTGATTATGTATCTCCCCCGAGTCATTCCAAAATCTCTTATCCTATTCAATGATACCTTCCTAGCCTTTAACTCATTAATCCTACCATCTGATCACTTTAATAGTTCTTTCATCAAACCTATTTCCCCCCCATGTTTAACTGTGTATCCACATCGTATTTCCTCTATCCTTCCTCTAATTAATCATCCACTTGGTTTAATATACATCTCCATATTCGGTCAGTTGTGAGTTAATCTGTTCACTCGTTTATTAATTTTTTTAGGAAACATTTCATTGAAGATTTATCCTGTGCCTAGCACGCAATGAATCTTTGCATTCATTAATCACTGCATTTCGATTTTAACACTTAATAATCCTTGCTTTTGATATGGCATTTTATCATGTTGTTGAGACGTCTCAGAGGCGAGAGCCCTACCACTGGGATACACGAAGACACACATGGTGGTAATTGGAATTACAGTAATCTGTCACAGAAACGTTCTCTTTAGTCAGTGATTAATTTGTTCCTTTCTTTATGTAACTTGAGCGTTTTGCTGTTGGTTTAAAACAAATTGTAATGATCACCGAGGGGACGCATTCTTCCTGCTCGGCTCCTGTTAACACTCAAAACCAAAGCCCTGAATATTAGGGTGGTCTTAGCTGGACAAGGAGTGGGAAGCTTCCCATACAGTGCTCACAGTGGAAAGCTGTGTGTTTTTATTTTAACCTGGTTAAACTACAGCAATTAAACCCAAGCGCACACTCTTGAGTTCCCCCAAAGCCTTAGTCATTGTTGTTAGTCGGTTGGTGGATCGCTTTCCAGAGGAATTAATAATTCTTTCAAAAACAATCGATAAACTAAATTAAAAATAATAATAACGTGGTCACTAAATCCACAGCTGTTTGTGGGACATGGCTGTGTGCAACTGGCTGCCGCGTTTCGCCCACAAAATATACACTTTACAGTATATCCTGTATCAAACACAAGGATTATAGGATTATTATAATTTGCGCCTAATACTTTCTGGGATTAGGAAAACAAGGTTCATTCCTTCAGGGAGAGAGTGCGCACTCCATTCCAGACACGGGAAAATTTCAGTCTCATTTGGATAAATTTAAGACGGGGATGGGTTTCAGGTGCATAACAACAAAAAAAACAAATTCCTTCATAACTTCGCAATTCCAAATCGTAGAACCCAGGAAAATTTACGGCACAAAAACGAGGTCATTTGGGCCGATTGAATCTGTTGTGGAATGTTGCATTTTTCTGCATCTGAAGACGTAATGGAACATTTTTCACCCATTACATTCAGTTTATCACGGCTGGAACGAATGCTGCATCGATCATCACATGGTCATGCATTGATACGTTATAGATGTTGGGAAGGACACCGTGTGATGTGAAGGGCACTATATAAATGCAAGTTGTTGTTGTTGTTCAGCTGTTCAGAAGAACAACTTGGGTTTTCACAACTCCCTTCGCTGAGTGTAACATCTCTGAAAGCTTCTCAGTGTCGGCACTTGACACCAAACTAGGCGTTGGAGGAGGTGACAATGACAATAACTGGCATGTATATAGCGCCCCCTCACACAGAGCCAGAGAGCTTGTGACCCAGTGTTAAGGTGGGATTTAAAGACAAATCGAGGAAGAGGTGAGGCGGAGGGATGAGAGGCAGAATGTTCCAGAGGTGCTTGAGGCTCTCGACCATCAATGGTGGCTCAGAGAGGGGGGTGGGGGGGAAGGGGGGAAGGGGGGAAGGAGAAGAGCAGTGGAGCGAGTCAAACATCAGAAGGATAAGTATCTTTCACTGGGAAACATCCCAATAGACACGTTGCCCTGGACTTTCAGTGATGAAGCACAGAGTAAGAATGATATTGCCAACTGCACATCTGTTTCTGCCAGACAAATATGTGACTCACTTAGAAGAACCGGCACTTTTACAAATTCCTTCGACTGCGCTCATAGAAAAGCTGAGGAGATGCTCTTTATTCCAGGGTTCTGGGACGCTACCCAGCATGAGGGGCGCTAGATAAATGCAACTTGTTGTATTCTCAGCCTCATAAAATGTGTTTTAAGGAGGCGAGATCCATTGGCATGTTAGGAATGTTCACATACATAAAGGTTTGTTTTGTTTCTTGACAGATGTAATACAGGTCTCCGTTTCACATCTCTAAAGTGTTTAATAATAATTTTGTGCCTTTGATTTGGCGCTCGAAACATCTCAGGGCGCTTTGCGGGTAATTGATGCCACGTGTAGTGACTGTGTATTCCACGGCCATGAAATGAATGATTAGCCTTTACGTTAATTGTTTGGTTTCCTCATTGCAGCACAGCTAAGCTCAAGCCCACATCTGTCGGCCTCTGAGACACTGCAGGTCAGGCTGTCCTGCTTAATGGGCGCTCGTTCGACTTGGCTCAGTTGAGAACACTCTGGGCCAGAAGATGGTGGGTTGAGCCAGAGCTCAGTAATGATGGAGGTGCAATGTCGGAGGTGCCGTAGTTCAGTTGTATCATCAAACCAAGCCCTCCATCTGCAGTTCAGGTGGACGTTTGAACCCACAACCTTCTGACTCAGAGGTGAAAATGCTAACACTGAGCCAATGGATACCAGTTCCAATCTGCAGCGTTCTGTAAATGCAAAATTGTACAGTGCAGTTTTGTCCTAACTTGTAAATGCCACCACTCCCCTGCCTCACTCTGGAATCTTCTGCAGATCTGCTTCCCTGAAGCTCTGCCAACTCTGACATGCTCCAAGCTCTTCCCCCTTCCCCACCCAACCCAACCCCAACCTCACCATTTGAAGGTGAGCAATCTTCAGCCACTCACTTGCTGGGAAATAATAATAATAATAATAATAATCCTTGCATTTGATATAGCTCCTTTCACGTCGGGAGGACATCCCAAAGCGCTTCACAGAACACACTGTAAAGTGAAGTGACTGTATATTTGTGGGCGAACGCGGCAGCCAATTGCGCACAGCAATGTCCCACAAACAGTCGTAGATTGAAAATGACCAATTTATTATTGTTTTTGGTTTTGGAGGGATTATTATTAGGCTCTGTGTGGAGTAAGAAAACTTGCCCAAGGTTTCGCCCTCTGCCTGGAATTGAACTCAGGTCTCTCGCTTGCAAAGCGAGTGCTCTAATCACTGAGTTACAGAAATGCAGAAGGAATAGATGCAAAAACACAATGAAAAATCTGATCACAGCTTGCCAATAGCCGGATCCCCACAGGTGTGTGTGTGAGGGTTGACAGATTAATTTGGCAACAAAACAAAATCTAATCAGGTCATGTGGGTTCCTTATATTGCGTGATTGCCAGAGTCAGGACTCTGAATCTAAAGGTTGTGGGTTCAAGTTCCCACATAGGTTTAAACTCACACAGTCTAAGCTGATGCTCCGATGCAGCGCTGGGGGTGTGTGTTGCATTGTCCCGTCTGCCTGTTCAGGTGGATGATAAAGATCCCATGGCCAACAATCCCCCAAGTAAAATATTGGTCACTCATTCCTTGGCTGTTTGTGGGTAATTACATTTGCCCATAAAGTACACAGTCACAGTAATGGAGAATTCTCGTGAAGCGCTTTGAGACATCCTTCCGATGTGATAAAACGCTGTATCAAATGCAAGGATTATTATTATTATATTCTGATTCCAGCTGCATGGAGCAAGATCATTTTGAACCCAAAAAACTGCTTCAAAGATGAATTACTGTTGATGATGATATAGGGCCCGTTGAGAAGTTTCAACACGTTTCACAGATTATATTGTAAAGTGAATTGACTGTATATTTTATGGGCGAAATGTGGCAGATAATTAAGTGACCAAGTTATTATTATACTTTTTTTTGACTATCCATTGTGTGACCTGTTTCCTCCAACAACACAATTACATTTGTAAAGTGCCTTTCACCTTGGGAGGACATCTCGAGGCGCTGAACAGTCAGGACTTGAGCGTGGGGGGCAAGGTTGGGATGAGGGAGGGCAGAGGGGGTAGGAAGGCGGCTGAAGGCACGGTTGAAAAGAGGGTCTTGAGACGTGCTTTGAAGGAGGCAAGAGAGGGAGTGAGGTGAAGGGATTGTGGGATGGAGTTCCAAAGAGTGGGGCAGAGAGGCTGAAAGCCCGATCACCAATTGTAGGGCAAGTCGGGGGGGAGACCTGGAGCAGGTCGGAGCCTGCTGAACGGAAGGAGCGGAGTGGTTGATAGGGGGTTAGCAGGTGAGAGATGTAGAAGGGCAATGCCACGGAGGGGCTTGAAAGTGAGGACGAGGATTTTGAATTCTATCCTCTGGTGGATGGGGAACCAGTGGAGCCGGGCGAGGGTGGGGGTGATGGGGTAACTGAGCGGCAGAGGACACGAGCGGCAGAGTTCTGGATGATCTGCAGCTTGTGGAGGGAAGAGTGGGGAGGCCGACAAGGAGGGAGTTTCGTAGTGTTGCTGCGCTTCACAGAATATACTGTCTAGTGGAGTGACCATGTATTTTGTGGGTGAAACGCGGCAGCCAATTGCGCACAGCAGTGTCCCATAAACAGTTGTGGATTTGAGTGATCACATTATTATTCTGAGATGTAAGGGGTGAGTTCAGGACAAAACCAGGAAGCTTCTCTTTACACTGAGGTTTATCAACAGCTGGAGCCCGGGTCACCAGGAAGGGTGTTTGAGGACAGAAACAGCAAAATGTTAGAATACGTGAAAAGTAGTTAAAATAAAACTAAATGGACACACAGAGAATAGGGAGGAAACAGAAGCTAGGGAACAACAAAGACAAAGCATTTGCTGAAATCATGTTTTTCCCTTTAAGATGTACAAGACATAATGGATCTTGTATTGAAACTGCTTGAGGACAAACTTGGCAGCATCAGTATCCACGGTTGCCCACTCCACCTCACCAAGCCAGTTAGAAACCTGGACGTCTTGTTCGACCTTCAACTGCCCTTTCTCCGCCATATCTGTGCCATGACCTGCTCTGCCATCCCCCACCTCCGCAACATTGCCCGACTCCATCACTGTCTCACCCCTCAGCCGCCAAAACCCTCATACGCACATTCGTCGTGTAGTAGAGCCTTAAGATGACGAATGTGCGTATGTGCGTATGGGCACATTACAGAATGTGCCCAATATTCTGTAAAAACTCCCTAAATGGTGACCTCTTGGGGACTGGCGATGAAATCACCATTTCCTTGCTGAATTCACCTCTCACATCTCTGAATTAGTCATCTCTTGCCTCATTGCCTTGATGTATCTCAACGTTAAACATCCCACCACATTATTGGAAGAAGGGAATTTCTCCCATTGCTTCATTCGGTTTTCAATCCATGGCTGATTGTGGGACATTGCTGGATTACAACCGCAGATGTAACTACACCTTAAAAAAAGTGTGTTTGACCTAGCGTCTGAAAGCGCTTTGCAGGATTTGCTGTTGAATTGAAGTGACTGTGCATTTCGCGGGGGGAGCACTGCGCCCAATTCGCGCACAGCAGCGTACCGTTTAACGGCCTGCGAAGCTTTGAAATGTTCTAACATTAGACATGGCATTAAGTTAAACATTAAGAAGAATCACGATTAGAAATGAAGGACTCTGGAAGCAGTTACGCAACGCATTAACCAGCAGATGTCAGTGTCCCAGTGTAATTACCATAGCGTAAAAGACTACCTCTCGCTCACTACCGGTAATGACAGAGCAGATTAAAGCATATTGGCTTGGGGTGGGGGAGAATCAGGAAAAGCAAAATACCCCCCACAAATTAATAATAATCCTTGCATTTGATATAGCACCTTATCACGTTGTCTCGAAGTGCTTCACAGAATATATTGTAGAGTGGATTGACTGTATATTTTGTGGGTAAAACGCAGCAGTTGATTGTGCACAGCAAACAGGCGTGGATTGAGTCACCAAATTTTTTTTAAGGGCTTATTAGCCCCGGAAAGCGTTCTGACAATCGACTAACAACCGGGCTCCTACTTACTGCCAGGTAATCAGGGGCGTGGAGTCAGGAACCTTGCCTAAGGTTTTGTCCTGTCCGGGAATCGAACCCGAGTCCTCTCGCTTGCAAGTCGAGTGTGCTAACCACTACATGACAGGACTTCTCTACAGTCCAGAACAACATGACTTATTTAAGACAAAAGGGTCGAAAACTAGGTGGAATTTCAGCCTCAAAGTTTGCGCTGTGTCCTGCCAAACTGTATTTAATAGAATATCTGCAATGACAAAAGTTCCTACAGACTGAGACAATCACTCGCCTGAACCACACATGGAGATGAGTATTCAGGGCTGTGCAGTGGAAACATTTTTTTGCGGTTGATTTATTTTTTGGGTTGGGGGTGGGGGGGTGGTGAGAGGGGGGGAGGGAGGAGAGGGGCAGCGAATCCTTCAGTGGATGTATGATCTGACCACATTGGGAGACATAGTTGAAAATATCTGTGCGAAATTCAAGCTCAAAATTCTGGCTTCCAGTGGGTCCCCTCAAGGCAAAAATGACATCATTGGATGGGTTGGTTAGTGAGGTCTGTCTCAAGGCTGTGAAATCGACATGGGGTTGGTATGTGAGGAATGTGTTAATTTGAGAGACTCTGCCCCTTTTTCCTATTGTCTGTGAGGAACTTTCACCAAATAAGGCTCCCATCTGAATGCTAATTTTCCATGTAAGGACTCGCCTTCCTTTTTCCTAACCCACTGACGTCAGGTCGATAACGGGAATCTTTTTTAGACAGGATTTTAACCTCAAGCTTCACTTTTTCAGTCGACAAGCCACAGCAGGATATCTCTCAGCCTCTGGAGGAAAACGGTAGGTGAAACATATTCTCTGCATCCCAATGGTATTTCTGTTGTTGTGCTGGATACATTTAAGGTGGAGAAAACTTTTTAAACAAGTTGCAGAAATGTTTGCACTAGTTGGGACCTTACGCATAATGCTTTTAATAATAATAATAATCCTTGCATTTGACATAGCGCTTTTCACGTCAGGAGGACGTCCCAAAGCGCTTCACAGAACACACTGTAAAGTGAATTGACTGTATATTTGTGGGCGAACGCGGCAGCCAATTGCGCACAGCAATGTCCCACAAACAGTCGTGGATTGAAAATGACCAATTCATTATTGATTTTGGTTTTGGAGGGATTGTTATCAGACTTACTAACATGACCCTGTAGTCATTGTCAGTACAGTTTCTGTGAACAAGTGTGAACTTGATCTGAGTTTAAGACTTAAACTTTAAGACGTTCAAACGCTGTGTACCTCAGTCGCTCTATGTCTACAATGTTAACTGAGATCTGTGTAGAAATCTCATGAGCAAATCTGGAGAGCTTGGGTGGGTGGGTTTGTCATTTCTTTTTTCAGCTGCGTTGAGTTAATTGCACAGTAAACATTTTTTTTAACTCTTCCCCCAAAAAGCAGTTGGCACTGTTTTGGCCGTTTATACCACCCTCAAGCGTTGGGAACTTTCCTCTGTATCCAACTGGGGGTGTTGACACAACACAACACTCCCTAAACTAAGTAACTAACTTATTCATACTCGCAGGGGCTAAGTTTGACTTCAACAAAATGAAAAAAAAACCCAGAAAGGATTTAACGCTTCAAAACATAAACTTTTTTTTTGCATTCCTAGCATAAATTATTGACAGAAATTACCCACTTGAAACACGTTTCCTGCTTAAAGAGTTTTTTTAGGGTGGGGGAAATAGTGCTGCCTTTTGTCTCTTATTAAAAATAAGTGGTGCAAAGTTATATTTTTTGGGGGAAAAAAGTTGATTAAGAGTTTATGGACAGCCACCCAGTCAGAAACGTTTTAGAACACAGAGTCTGTTGATCCACACGCACTCTGCCTCCCCATAGGTTTTTTTTCACTCTGCTTTGCATACTGCATTACCAACGCAGTAACAAAAACCTTCCAGTTTGGCTGCAGAAACCAGGACTTTTTTTTTAAGGGAGTTTTCACTGATGTGGACTGAACTGGAGTGGAGTCGTGTAGCTCAGTGGTTAGAGCGCTCGCCTCGCAAGCGAGACAAACTGAGTTTGATTCCCGGGCAGGGCGAAACCTTAGACAAGTTTCCTTCCTCCACACGCTTCTGTTTAACTCGCAGTAAGTAGGACCCCAGCTGTTAGTCGACTGGCGGATCGCTTTCTGGGGGTAATAATCTCTTTTAAAAAAAATTGGTACCTCAATCCACGACTGTTTGTGGGACACTGCTGTGCTCAATTAGCTGTTGCGTTTCATCCACAACATATACAGTCAATTCACTTTACAGTGTATCCTGTGAAGCACTTTGAGACATATCAATGATGTGATAAGGCGCTGTATCAAATGCAAGGACTATGATTATTTCTACAGATGAAGCAATGCTTCGTGAATTTGTTTCAAACCTTATAGAATGATTAAAATATTACGAAAGCAGGAATCTAATAAATAATAATCACGCAATGACTTTAATTGTCAAATAATATTCTGTACAATTTGCCTAAAATTCTGTAAAAACAGCCTAAAACGCTGACCGCATGGTGACAGCCAACAAAATCACAATTTCCTTTATTATTAATATGGAAGGACAATTTACTGTTGGGAGAATTTTGAAATGACTCCTGCAGATAGCAAGCACTTGGATTTAAACAGCGCCTTTCACATCACTTAATGCTTTAGAAATAATAATAATCCTTGCATTTGATACAGCGCCTTATCATGGCATTGAGACCACTCAAAGTGCTTCACAGAATATACTGTAAAGTCGAGTGCCTGTGTACTTTGCAGGCAAAACGTCTAAGTGGGTCAATCAGCAAGATGGTGGTGAGTGAGGTGGGTGGGGCGAGTCGTTGAGGATGATGACCTAAGCACAATCAGCATTTTGGTTTTAAGAGGGTTTGGAGCAAGGGAGAAAAGGTGTGAAACAAAGGGAGATCCAGATGGAAGGGGTGGGGGTGGCGGGGGAGAGAGTGGATGAAAACTTAGCCTCTGATAGTGGGACAAAGAGGGGTGGCAAGTAGGAGGACCAAATTGGGGGAGGAGAAGAGAGGACATGGGGAGGGGAGGCACAGAATAGGGGCTGGATGAAATTGCACAGAGTATGGAGTATAGTTACAGGAATCTTGAGCTTGTTTGCTATGGAATGGAGCTGAGTAGAAGGTGAGGTTAGGGGAGGGCAGTCAGATGGAGGATTGACAATCATCTACACCCTTCCATTAGCAGGAGGCTGTGTTGAGCAGCAGAGATAGACGGAGAGGGAGAAGATTGCCGCAAATGACTGATGTGTTAAACGACAAAGTGTGGATGAAAGGGAGAGAGAGGAGAATCCTGTACAAAAAAAAGATCATGGGAAAGTTGTGGAGTTTTGTAGTGTAGCAGTGAGAACACTCGCCTCGCGAGTGAGAGAACCCAGGTTAATTCCCAGGCAGGGTGGAAACTTAGCCAAGTTTCCTTACTCCACATGCCTCTGTTTACCTAGCAGTAAGTAGGAACCAGGTTGTTAGTCAATTGGCAGATCGCTTAGAGGTAATAATCCCTTCAAAAAAAAAGAATAATAATGTGATCATTCAATCCGTGACTGTTTGTGCGACACTGCTGTATGCAATTGGCTGCCACATTTCACCCCCAAAATACAGATATTCTGTGAAGCGCTTTGAGACATCTCAATGACATGATAAGGTGCTATATCAAATGCAAGAATTACTATTAGTAATAGTAGAACTCACCTATGATTGGGGAGAAATTTCATCTGGGTCTAGGTGGGGATTCAGTTTATAGGAACATGGGAAAAGAAGTAGGCCATTCAGCCCCTCGAGCCTGACCCGCCATTCTATTAGATCACGACTGATTTGTACCTCAACTCCAATACTCGTCCTTGCCCCGTATCCCTTGATACCCTGACCTAACAAACATCTAGCCACCTCAATCATAATCCACAGCCTATTGGTAGAGGGAGGGAGTTACAGATTTGCATTACCCTTTGGGTTTACAGGGTATTCACTTGCAGATGACGAACTCCAAAACCCTGGGCACTAGCAATGGTGATTTTTCTCCATCCTTAGATCAGTCTTTGCATGTGTTGCCACCAGGAACTTCAGTCACTTGGGTTAACTTGACTATTGGACGCTCTCAAATTAATGGGTTCCAATCTCCAAGCAGAGCTTCCAATTTCTGCTCAAAGTACTGAGCTCTCCTTGGGGGCACTTACAGATACAATGTCATGGGTGGTTGTGGGGGTGGGGATGGGGTGGGAGGAAGTCCATGATCCCATCCTCTGTCACTCCTAAACTAATCTCTGCTACATGCTCGGGTTTCATTTGACGGTGCGATGAACCGACAATAATAATAATCCTTGCATTTGATATAGCGACTTATCACATCGTTGATATGTCTCAAAGCGCTTCACAGAATATATTGTAAAAGACTGTGTATTTTGTGGGCGAAATGCACCACATGCTCAATTTAAGAAATTCCCAAATAATGGCTCCAGACTCCCAGCGTCCATCATTGAAGCCTCCCTTCACTGTTGGCAAATTTGAGGCGTGTGAAGGAGTCTATGTCTGTTTGTTAGGTGTTTAAGTGCAAGACTTGAGGGCGAGTTTCACAGTGTGAACTACACATTGAGTTAGCTGAATCCTTCCTACTGAGTCTCTATAACCGACTGGCTGGTGTCTGCAGTGTCTGTAGACACTTGCTGCCTGTGCACCCTTTCCCAGGAAGCCTTATGTTGGCTGTCGCTTTGAAATGGACATGAATCTTCAGCCAATGTCCATAACTAGCCAGAAAATACACAATCACTCCCCTTTACCATATATCCTGTGGAGCGCTTTGAGACGTCAGGAAAATGTGGTAAGGCGCTAAATCAAATACAAGGATTAAAGAGGGAGACTCATGGCTCTTTTTGTGACTGTGACCTTGACCGGTCTCAAAAACAAGAGGGGCTAAGGTTGAAAGATTAGGGAGAGACATAGAAAACTGTGAATGCCCCTGAACTGGCCTGGAATTGAAAGTCCATTATAAACAGGGAGATGACTAATGAAGAAACCCAGTTTACGGTTAGTGGATGAGGAAATGGAGTGTGGCTTTACTGTTAATACTCAAAGAGCCTCGACTTCCATCAGGATGAGAGAGACTCCCACAAGCCAAAGAGGGAAGTGATTAGGTTACTGGAGTCCTCTGCCAGTAAATGGCACAGTTCTGTCCCTGCCTCAGTGGAAATTCCCTCCTCTTCGACGGCGTCTTCTATCACCCTCCAACCGCTTCCCTCCCTATCCGCCACCTGTCCTGATCCCGACCCCATCTTACCACCTCTGCCCCCTTCACTTCTTTCAATAAAACAGCGTCAGCAAATTTGATTTCCTAATAAGAGCATGTCCGCAAGGGTAGCCAAACATGGAGTCTGCCTGGACCATGTTAAGCCACCGAGAGAGAGAGAGAGAGAGAGACCGTCAATTTCCCAGCTTCATTATAGGCCTCCCAATATTGATCAAAATTAAATGAGTAGTCTAGTGGTTAGAGCACTCGCCTCGCAAGCGAGAGGACCCAAGTTCAATTCCGGAGCGAAATGTTAACCAAGTTTCTTTACTCCACACGCCTCTGTTTACACAGCAGTAAATAGGAACCCAGTTGTTAGTCGATTAGAGAATTATTTTCCGGGGGTAATAACCCCCTTTTTTAAAAAAAGTGTGGTGACTCAATCCACGACTGTTTGTGGGACGCTGCTGTATACAATTTGCTGCCGCGTTTCGCCCACAAAATATACAGTAATTCCCAATTACAGTAAATTCTGTGAAGTACTTTGAGGTGTCTCAAAGACCTGATGAGGCGCTGCATCAAATTCAAGGATTATTATTATTATTGTTATTCAAATCAACCTAATTTCTGTTTTCAACAGGCTGAGCCGTGAGCTCAGTGCACAAGGGCAATCGAGGTGACTTGTCCCAGTTCAGTTCAGATTTGTCTGACTCTAGTTCACTGACCTTCATGTCTTTTTCTGTGTGTGCATCTGCCACAGGTCTACTTCACTGCTAACCATGGCTAACGCGGGACCATCTTATGGACTAAGCAGGGACGTGCGAAACAGGATTGAGAAGAAATATGAACCGGAACTGGAGGAAAAGCTAGTGGAGTGGATCATCGCTCAATTGGACAATACCGTGGGAAGGCCAGAGCAGGGAAGATATGGCTTCCAGGCTTGGCTTAAAGATGGCACAGTAAGTTACTGAGAGCAGTTAGGACCCGCTTGACTTCACAGGATGACTTCCCAGTGTCCTGGCCAACAAATAAAATTGGTCACTCACTCCATGGCTGTTTGTGGGACACTGCTGAGGACAAACTGCGGTGCCGTTTGTCTATAAAATGCACAGTCACTCCATTTTACAGTAAATTTTGTGAAGTGTTTTGAGACGTCTTGAAGAAATGATAACACTCGATACCAAATGTAGGGATTATTATTATTTTGAGACATCCTTCAGAAACAAAAAAATAAATTCATAGAATTTTTATTGCTGTCCATTACAATGGGAAACATTGTATTGGTTCACATGATTTTACTGTGTGAATTATATCATTAACAGCACCTGTAATTCCCTCTGTAAACTTGCATTTACACATGGTTTACACAATAATAATCCTTGTATTTGATTATAGCGTCTTATCACGTCATTGAGAAGGCTCAAAGCACTTCACAGGATACATAGTAAAGTGGATTGACTGTGTGTTTGTCAGTAAAATAGACACCAATGTGATGCCATTGGTTTCATGCTGTCTGCTTTACCCTCCACAAAAGAGGTGTTTGCCCTCTCGTCTGCACATTTGACCCCTGAGGTTAGAAATTCCACCTAGTCCTCGCCCTGAGAACCCATTTTGTCTTAAAAAGGATCTAAAGTCATGCAGAATTGTCCCAAAATTCTTCAAATCAATCTAAATTCAGAAGCCAGTTCTTCAAAACCAAGCTCATAGGAACAGGAGTATGGAATTCAGCCCCTTGAGCCTGTTCCACCAATCAATTAGATCATGGCTGCCTTTGCCCCATATCCCTTGATATCCTGGCCTAGCAAATTGAGGCAGGATTTAAGAATCTTGGTAAAATTTGATCTACAAAGGCTCTCGGAGGCTGAGACTAGTGGAATATTGGGAGACTTGGATACCAACCTTAGCCTCGATCATCCACACACGCTGCCACACTCACTAATTACAATTAAAATCTGTTGAGTTTCATGGGAATTCTGAAGTGAGCATTCTCCGTGGTGACCGAAAATCGAGAACGATGGTTTCTCTTTGTAAGAGGTGTGATGGAGTTTGGGATGAGAGTCGCCGGGTTTGGTATTGCCCTGATATTCAATGATGGTAAAGTGGGGCATATTATGAGAACAAAACTCGCTCGTTAAAAAAAAATCACATCAAACAAATTCACAACTTATTAATAAATAATACTTGCAGCTGATATAGCCCTCATCACGTACTTGAGACATCTCAAAGCGCTTCGCGAAATGTGGGCGAAATGCGGCTGTCAATTGTGTACAGGAGTGTCCCACAAACAGTCATGGGTTGAGTGACCTTTTTTATACCCCCGGAAAGTAATCCTCCAATTGACTAACAACTGGGTTTCTATTTACACAAAAAATTCCATTTTGCATTATTTTTTACGGTATATTTTATATTTTATATAGTGAAAAACAAATTGAAACTTCCTGAAAAGTAGGGAAAATATCACTCCAGAGAGTCATGTTGTTGACAACCGACCGAAACAATTCATACACCCAACAAGGTCAATGAAATCAGGGAAGATTTCTCTGATAAAAATGAGTGTGTAGATGGTATATTGGATTTAGAACTGTTCTGCCACTTTTTAGGGTATTAATCTGATAAAGTTCCCCCAGATGTTAAAGATTCCACGGCGCTATTTGAAAAGAGAAGGGAGTTTCTCTCTTTCTCCTGGTGTTCTGGCCAATAATCCTCCAGATAAAGTGGGTCACTCACTCCATGGCTGTTTGTGGGACATTGCTGTGCGCATTTCACCCACAAATTACACAGTCTTTTCACAGTAAAATCTTGTGACGCCCTTAGATCACATGATGACTATATCAATTAATAATAATAATCGTTGCATTTGATACAGCGCCTTATCAAGTCGTTGAGACGTCTCAAAGCGCTTCACAGGATATATTGTAAAGTGGTTGTTCGTTTTGTGGGTGAATCCAAGATTATTATGATTATTACTATTATGGCATGGCATAATCTGTGGTTCCAACAAATGGAGCCACTTGCTATTTTATTACTGTCTTGAGGCCAGGATTGCCTCAATGATCTCATTGTAAAAATCTTGTCTGGCTCAAGCCATTGCCTTGCTAGCTGTCTGATGAATTGCTGTCAACTAATTCAGAGATCCATCACAATCTCACAAGTGTTGTAAAAGTAATTCTAATTTGTATTCTGATATCAGCAAGTCACCCTAGGATTAATCACAGGTCGAATTGCAATTGAAGTGTGATTTTGGAAGGATTTGCTACCCATGTGTGTTTGAGATTGTGACTCAATATTAAAGTTGTTAGGATCTTAGGACCGTTCAGCCCATCGACCCTGGACCTTAGACCGTGTCAGATATCCTACTGAAGTGAAAGGTGATATATAATAATCCTTGCATTTGATATAGCGCCTTATTGCGTCGTTCAGACATTTCAAAGCGCTTCACAGAATATGTTGTAAAGTGGAGTGACTGTGTATTTTGTGGGCGAAACGTGACAGCCAATTGCCTACAAACAGTCATGGATTGATTGACCAAACCATTATTACTAAAAACATTTTTGAAGAGGTTAACAACCGGGTTACTTACTGCTAAGTAAACAGAGGTGTGTGGAGTAAGGAAACTTGCCTGAGGTTTCGGCCTGCCCAGGAAACAAACCCGGGTCCTCTCGTTTGGGAGGCAAGAGCAATGCTACAGGACTCTACATAAATCCAATTAGCTGTTGTTGCTTAATCCCATTTCCCTGCCTTTTCTCCACAAACCCCCTTAATTCCCCAAGTATCTCCCATTTAAACAGTTGGATGGGCCGTTGGATTCCGCATTCTTCCAAAGCCTTTGTGAGATGTTTTCTGATCTCGCCTTCTTGTTTCTCAATGAGCTGCGTCTTGTTCCGGCAGATTTTGGGCAAACTGATCAACAGTCTGTACAGCGATGAATCGAAGCCCATCAAGAAGGTCGAGAACTCGCAGAAGGCTTTCAAGCAGATGGAGCTGGTGTCACAGTTTCTGAAGGCGGCCGAGACTTACGGCATCAACAAAACCGACATCTTCCAGACTGTGGACTTGTGGGAAGGTACGTGACAGTCAGTGTAGCCCAGGACTTGATGGCGGACTTTTGAGTGCTTCGAGACGCTTTCCCGCGTGAAGGGCAAAGGGCAAACACAAGCTGTTGCGGTTTGAACCATGGATAGCCTTTCCCAGCTGAGTGTCTCGGAGTAACATACAGGATCAGGAGGAGGCCATTCAGCTCCTCGAGCCTGTTCCGCCATTTTATTAGCTCGTGGCTGATCTGTATCTTGACTCCAATTATAATTTAATCGGCCCGCACAGGGTCTTTGGCAATCGCGAGATGCTGAGAACTGTGGACTGTGGTGGTGGTGGTGGGGGGGTGGCTGAAGACTCGGATGAAGAGATGAAGAGAGTTTTTTAGATGGATTTTGAAAGCAGAGAGGAGAGAGCCGCAGGGAGTGGGCTCAAAGGGCTGAAAGCTCGTCCGATGATGGTGAGGCGGAGGGGATGTGGAGGGCATGTACCAAGCAGGTGGTACGGGGAGTGGGGGGAGGGGGTGAACTGGCTATAGGGAAACTGGGAAATTTCCAGAGCTCCCCCATGATCGGCTCCCGATACTGCCCACTGCCAAAGCCAATGGATGTGTGAGTGAGTGACAGCTCTGACCAGTCAATCATCACCCAGAGCCCGGCCTCCCTGATGAGAGACAGCCATGGTAGACAATCACCAGCCGGATTCCCACTCTCTCGGTTAAGCTCCGGCAAAGTTTTTAAACGCACGGGAATTCCATGCGGAATCGTCGCAAACCCACCCGCCACCCCTACACCTCCCTCCCTCCCCCATGACTCAAAAGTCTTAATTTGACTTGAAAATCCTGAGCCCTTCCTGCAAACCAATTATATCAATGGAAGCAGAAACAAGTCAAGGGAAGGGAGTTGATCAGATAACCACAGGGTAGGCAGAGCCTGCAGCAGAGTAAGATGTGCAGCTCTTGGCAATTATTTCCTCGTGGGATTTGCTGATGGAACTGCTTCCCGTTTCCTCAGTGAAACCGACGGGTGTATTGTATCCACTGACACGAGGCTGACCTCCCGTCCCTCTTACAGGAAAGGATCTCGCCGCTGTCCAAAGGACCATCTTGGCCCTGGGTAATCTCGCCGTGACAAAGAGCGATGGGCATTTCCATGGTGATCCAAGCTGCTTTGTCAAGTAAGTAGCGCACAGCCCATTCTGCCCACAAGATATAGAATCACTACACTTGTCAGTGTTATTCCGTGAAGCGCTTTGAGACGTCTCGAAGACGTGATAAGACGCAATGTCAAATGCAAGGATTATTATGATTACTGTTTACTGTACTGGTTGACTGTAGTCAACGAGTTCAGAAGAACAACGACAACTTGGATTTACATAATGCCCCCTCACGCAGGGTAGTGTCCCAGAGCGTTCGATTTGAGAAATAGTCGGGACTTTAAACTCACGTGGTCTAGGCTTACGCTCTAGTGCGTTGCATTGTAGGAAATGCCGTCCTTCACAAGAGACAATAAACCGAGGTCCAGTCTGTGTGTGTTCACGTGGACGCTAGAGATCCCACGGCGTTATTCGAAAAGAAAAAGGAGTTTCTCCTGCTCAATAAGCCTCCCAAATAAACGTTTCTCTCTCCTGGTGTCCTGGCCGACAATTCCCAGGATAAAATCAGTCACTCACTTCAAGGCAGATTGTGGGACTTTGCTCTGCTACAAATTGGCAGCTGTGTTCAACTACAAAATACAGTTACTACACTTTACAGTGAGGTGCTTTGAGAAACCCCACTGATACGAAAGTACTTTAGCAAATGCAATAATTATTCTTATTGAATATATTACTAATAATAATCCTTGCATTTGATACAGCGCCTTATCACACCATTGAGACATCTCAAAGCTCTTCACAGAACATAAATAATAACAATAATCCTTACATTTGATATAGCGCTTTTCACATCTACTCGACGTCTCAAAGAGCTTCACAGAATAGACTGTAAAGTGAACTGATCGTATATTTTGTGGGCGAAACGTGGCAGCCAATTGCAGACAGCAGCGTCCCACAAAGTCATGGATTGATTGAGTGACCAAATTATTTGTATATTTGTTTATTTTGAACGGATTATTACCCCCGGAAAGCAATCCGCCAATCAACTAACAACCGAGTTCCTACTTACTGTTGGTAACCAGAGGAGTGGGTGTGGAGTAAGGAAACTTGCCTAAGGTTTCGCCCGGACCGGGAATCAAACCCGGGTCCTCTCGCTTACGAGGTGAGGGCTCTAACCACTGAGCTACAGGACTCCACTATTTATCCTAAGATTTGGCTGCCCAAAAACTGAACACTATATAGTACGCTAAAGGACATTTGACCATCATTCTATATAAATGTCGATGTACCCCTTTATGTCGATGGGACGCTGCTGTGCGCAATTGGCTGTCGCGTTTCGCCCACAAATATACAGTCAATTCACTTTACAGTACATTCTGTGAAGCGCTATGAGACATCTCAAAGACGTATTGAGGCGCTGTATAAAAATGCAAGGATTTGACTTCATATTCTGCTTCTTGTTTATCTCAGGAAAGCCCAGGAGAACAAGCGTGAATTCACCGCAGACCAACTGAGCCAGGGCAAGAACATCATTGGCCTACAGATGGGGAGCAATCAGGGAGCCTCCCAGTCAGGAATGAGCTACGGAAAACCTAGACAGATCATCGGCTAAAGTCACTCTCCCCTCCGACCCACCACCCTGTTAAAACGTGCGCTTTCGCCACAGTAACAATAAGCGACCCCACCAAAAAAAACAGTTAACACTAGAAAAATCTTCATTGGCCCTAACTAACTGTGATCATAGTCATTTATTTATTATGTGGCACTTAGGAGAGCAATGTAATGTGTCCATCGGCATCTTTTACTGGTCAGTTTTTTCTTTGCGCCAGCTCCCTTCCCCCTCCCCCCTGTTGGCTATAATTTTCCACCAGACCAAAATGGGGCCTGTGTCATAATTCCTCCGTAAAATAATTCCATGCCCAACCCCCCTCCCCAACGTTGTGAATGTTTGAGAGTAGAACTGCTCTGTCTCTGTCTCCATTGCTGATCTCTCCTGTAATAGAGCTGTTTAAAACCACCATTGTTTTTAAGTGTCAGTGCATAGTGATGGACACCTTTCAAATGGACCCAGACTTTCTCATTCCTAGTTTGTACGCAGCGGTGTGACCCGTGCTGCTCAACTTCCAGTCGTTCACTGGACTCGGACCTCCCTTTATCTCCACGTCGCATTGCACTGTCACTAGAACCCCAAGACCAACCACCCAACCCCTCGGCCTCCGCCTCCTCTTTCCTCAGCCCCTCAACTCCTACCCCGCCCGCCTCTCGACGCTGTTTCTGTGAAGTGCGTTGAGACATCCTCCCGGCTCTATATGAATGTAAAATATAATTATTCCACTTGCTGCAGGTGTCTCCTCACAGCCTGACAACAGCCCAATGCTCACAAGCTCCGTTAGTTAGATTTACTGCAACGCTGTTGACATTCCGAGTTCCTTTGTCACCACATGTTGCATTAGAGACATTTAAAAAGACCCTCAAAACTCTCCCCTCCGACCAATACAATGGCTCAGCTTTGGGGTGACATTGGGGGTGAGATTTTGGGGGAAAATGGGGAGGAAAAGAGCTTTACAACCCGTTTCCCGTTTCACAGATAGACCCGCTGATCAGCTCTCGAACAAACAGCTGAGTTTTTTAAAAAAAGATTATTTTAAGATGAAAGGGCTCGATTCAAACAAATTAAAATTCCGATGCTTAAAAAAAGGAAAGCGGTTTCCAAAAGAGTCCGAGCAAAACCTCTGGTCCTCATCCTTTGTTGTCGGAAATTAATAAGTAAGTTCAGAAATAGCATGTATCAAAAACTGCTATTAAACAGTGGCTTTCAATCCTGCGACTGAAACCGCGCTGAGCAGGTGACTGTTTTTACCTATGTGAAGCCGTTTTCTGGGTGAATGGTTCTGAGTAATGAGACTTTATTCCTTATGGTTTCCGCTAAGTTTAGGCGTTTGTGGGATCTTGATGTCACTCAAAATTGGCTGAAATCCCTATTCAGTACACACTTGACAGCAACTCCTTGCAAATGTTTGCAAATCCCTTCATGCCCTTCTTCTCTCACCCACAATCCGCTGACTGGCCCCGGCCTCCTGCATGTCCCTCGTGCCCTCCGTTCCACCATCAGTGGCCGCGCTTTCAGCCACTGCGCCCCGACACTCTGTCACTCTCTCCCTCTATCCCTCTGCCTTGCCCCTTCCTTCCCCATCTTCAGGACGCGTTGGAAGACCTTCCTCTTTGGCTGTGCCTGTGGTCACTTCCCCTTCCCCTCCGGCTCGACATCGTGCTCCGCCACTGTCAAGCGCTCTGGGACGCTACCCTGCATGAGTGAGAGGGCGCTGTGTATTTACAAGTTGCTGTTGAACGCTTTGACCCCACAACCGGTGGTTCAATCGCAAGGGATTGGTATGAAGTTGCCTTGGTGCAGAAGTCGCTCGCGGCCAAGACCATTTTGAAAAAAACGGATCCCATCGGGGAGAGAATTCCTGCTTTCTGTCAAACGTGCTGTATATTAGTTCTTTGTAAAAAAAAACATTTTGAATTAATTTTAGCCCTACGTTTTTGTACTTTTTTTTTGTCTTTTTTTGGTCAATTTGAAACCATGCGACGTAAATAAAATTTTGAGATGGAGGAACGTTGGGATCTTTATTGAGCGAGTGTCTGGCTGCCTTGGCTCTGTGGCTTGATGTCACCTGTGAGTTGGCGCCTTTACGCTAATATTGCTGGGGGTGGAGGAGGGGAAAGGGTTAATTTGTGCTAAAACACTCAAGCATCACTTACTGACAGTCATGGCTGCTGGAAGCTTTCCCAAAGCTGGTTGGACTCCAGCAGTTACCCTAACGCACACTCTAGGCTCCTCCCAAGCCTTAGCTCTTGCCAACCTGCATTTAATTCTTTCCAGAATTAGGTAAGCAAGAGGGAGAGAGAGAGAGCATTCCATCCCAATAACCTGTCTCTTGGATTTCCATGTGTAGGTGGGATGCATGGAATTCTCAGCTTGGTTTGGAGACTCTTCTTTGACCACACCTTTGGTCAATTTCCCAACACCACCCTCCTTGCCCTGCACCCCTCTTGACTCCAGCCCACAGCTCTCGTGCAAACCCTTCACTCTCCAGGACCTTGGGACGTCCTCCTGGGGTGAAGGGTGCTGTATAAATGCAATTTGTTGTTGTTGAGATCTAATCTAATGAGGAGCAGCCTCATTAAAACCACATGGATAGAACCAAGAGGAATCCTTCCTCCCCCCCCACCCCTCATGGTTAACTCCTTTTTAGGCATTTATCTTGTTCCCTTTTCAACGCTAATGTAGATTCTGCCTCAACCATCATTCTGGGAGGCCATTTGCTATCCTAATCACTCTTTATATGCCTCTGGCACATAAAATAAACCTCCTAACCTCCCCTTTTCTCCTTTGTCTTCCTTGCCCTGCCTCCCCACTCACTGCTCGTCCTTCAAAGCCTCTCCTCCCAACATGCCCCAGTTCTGATAAAGGGTCGTGGACCCGAAACGGTGACTCACTTTCTCCATAGATGCTGCCTGACCTGCTGAGCGTTCCCAGCGACTTCTGTTTTTGCTCCTAACCTCCCCATTTGCTCGTTTGCCAGCTGTCTTACATTGATGGCCTGTAGTCACTGCCCGGACACAACAAACAAAATAGTTTCATTGTGTTCCGAAGCCACAAAATTCTGAAAAATACTTGAGTTTGTGCCACTCACAACTCACTGTTGAGTTAAGCTCTAGTCTTGGGCGATGATGATAATAATAATAATAATCCTTGCATTTGATATAGCATCTCAAAGCTCTTTGCAGGACATATTGTAAAGTGAATTAACTGTGTATTTTGTGGGCAAAATGTGGCAGCTGATGTGGTCATCTTTGAAACACGAAGGTGGAGACCTGCCCCAAATCTACAGAAACATAAAATCATTGAGGGCATTACGGAGAGGGTTGCAACAGTAGTTTTGATGCAAAGTGTCTATACAGGGACACTTTCAACTGCAGTATTACACAACCCGAGTGGGCCATTTCCCAGCTTGTGTCTAATGCCTCCCCACCAAAAAAAAATTAATATGGTCACTCAATCCATGACTGTTTGTGAGACACTGCTGTGTGTAATTGGCTGCCGCATTTTGTACACAAAATACAGTTAATTCACTTTACAGTACATTCTGTGAAGCGCTTTGTGATGTCTCAATGATGTGATAAGGCGCTATATCAAATGCAAGGATTATTATTATTATTACCTGCCATTCAATCCAAATATCCTGTTGCATTTACCAAATGGGCTTCTTCCTTTGGAACAAGAAATTGACAATTGTAATTTATTGTTCCTCCAAAATGTTTCTCAATGTCGAGGTGTCATTGAGGCTCAAAACATCCTTGACACTTTTATTTTTGGGGGTCTGACACATGTAGAAACCCATCACCGTTACTTAAGAGTCTCCAAACCAAGTTGAGAATTCCATGCATCCCACCTACACATGGAAATTCCAGAGCTAGTTGTTGATGGGACACAACATCCCTGATGGGACACATCCTGCTTACCTAATCCCGGAAAGCATTAGGTGCAGGTTGGCAAGAGCCGAGGCTTGAAGACTTCAGAGTGTGCGTTGGGGTAACTGCTGGAGTCTAACCGGCTAAAATCGCAATAGCTTGCCATTGAAAGTTATTGGATTGCTTTGGGATTTTGATTGCACAGTAATATGGCTTTACTCCAGCTGGATTTTGACAAGGCTGTAACATCCAGAGATTCAATGATTTATCTGCAGGACAGCATAAGCCAGTTGACATCACTGTGGGCTTTACGAGGATTATAAAGTTGGGTTGAAGGTCTTTCAGAGTATCTGCCCTACTATTCACCCATTCACAGCCACGAGGCATTTCTCTAATGAGTCTATTGTTCAAGTCTCGAACCTCCTTTTATTTCAGGTTGTCCTTTTTTTCAAAACTGCTTAAATGCGTCTGTGCAAAGACAGAATTCCTGGTTCCAGAAATGGTCCTTGCTGACCCCGACTGAGCCTGTGTCCTCTTGTCATGTTACCTTGGAGCTTTGCTCTGGGATTATTTTATAAAAGGTACTAAAGGATGTGGTGAAAGGGCAAAGTATGGAGAATTAAAAGATAATAATCCTTGCATTTCATATAGCGCCTTATCACATCTCAAGGCGCTTCACAGTAAATACAATATAGTAAAGTGAACTAACTGGGTATTTTGAGGGTGAAATGTGGCAGCCAATTGCGCACAGCAGTGTCCCACAAACAGTCGTGGATTAAGTGACCAATTCTTTTGGACGGATTATTACCCCCAGAAAGTGATCCGCCAATCGACTAATAACTGGGTTCCTACTTACTGCTGAGTAAACAGAGGTGTGTGGAGTAAGGAAACTTGCCTAATGTTTCGCCCTGACAGGGAATCAAACCCAGGTCCTCTCGCTTGCGAGGTGAGCGCTCTAACCACTGAGCTACAGGATTCCCAAATCTGCCAAGATCTAATAAACTAGTGGTACAGGCTTACTGGACTGAATAGCTTTCCATGTATGGCTTCTAAAAAGTTCTTCTTTTGACATATGTCTGATCAAGGCTCAAGAGCCTTAGCTTATCTATTGCTCCTCAGTGCTCCTCCCTGTAATACCAATCATCCTCATTACTCTCCTCTGCAAAAACAAGCAAACTTGGCAGCAACTTGCAAAAAAGACAAGTCCCTACACTTGACAGCAATCACTGGAAAGAGCTTTGAGAAGTCAGGAGCTCCAGAGTTGTTTTTTCCTTTCCAACATATTTTGAAAGCAATACTTCGCTTTTGGTTTGGAGCCTGTGGTTTTGTGTTGAAGCATTACCAGATCAGTGAACATTTCACAACGAAGGGAGGAAGGAAAAAGCAACGCTTTTACTTCCTTTTTGAGGGGTGACCGCCCATTGCCATGGAAATAACCAAACTGCTGGGCTGGGCTGTCATTGTTGATCACCACCCTACTTGCTGGAGTATTTACACAGAGCCTAGGCTCATAGTGACAGTCAATATCTATTACAGGAGTCTTGTAGCTCAGTGGTTAGAGCACTCGCCTCGCAAGTGAGAGGACCTGGGTTTGATTCCCGGGCGGGGCAAAACCTTCGGCAAATTTCCTTACTCCGCACACCTCTGTTTACCAGCAGTAAGTAGGAACCCAGTTGTTAGTCGATTGGCAGACAGTTTTTCTGGGGATAATATATCCTCCAAAAGAAAAAATTATTTGGTCACTCAATCCACGGCTGTGTGTGGGACGCTGCTGCGCGCAATTGGCTGCCGCGTTTCGCCCACAAAACATACAGTCAATTCACTTTACACTATATTCTGTGAAGCGCTTTGAGAAGTCTCGAAGACGTGATAAGGCGCTACATCAAAGTCAAGGATTATTATATTATTATCATAGCAGGTTTCATGCTACCAATTGGAGATGGATGTCACCTGTGGAATACAAGATGAAGCCCATCATTTCAGAAGCAACAGATTATTATGGGAAATAGTAATAGAAGGCCATCGATCCAAATAACATTTGGTCACTCACTTGGCTGATGGCTGTTTGTGGGACACTGCTTTGTGCAAATTGTTTGCTTACAAAAATATACAGTCACTACAGTTTATAGCAATTCCTGTGAAGTGCTTTCAGATACCGACACTGATAAGGCTCTATATCAAATGCAAAGGGTTGTTAGTAATTATTATTATTATCTGCCTTTCCATCTGGATTTCCATTACATTACCTGCTATTCAATCTGGATGTTTACCCACTGGGCAAAAGAACTAGAGCGGAGATGAAGAGAATATTTTTTACGTAGCGAGCTGTTACAATCTGGAATGCATTGCCTGAAAGGGTAGTGGAAGCAGATTCAATAATAACTTTCAAAAGGGAATTAAGATATTTACTTGAAAAGGAAAAATTTGCAAGGCTTTGGGGAAAAGGCCTGGGAGTGGGAATAGTTGGTAACTCGTTCAAAGAGGCAGCACAGGCAGAATGGACCGAATGGCCTCTTGTGTTGCAAAATTCTATGATTCTAAACCACAGATGCACACGCAAACCATGGATAAACCCAGATGCACACGCAAACAGGTACAAACGTAAACTATAGATAAACATAGGCACACACACGCATTCACTGTGATAGAGACACATTCACACACGCAAACAATAGACGCAAGCAGAGACACACACGCAAACCACAGATAAACACAGACGCACATGCAAATAGATACAAACACACACAAACTACAGATAAAATCAGACACACACACATTAACTGTGATACAAAACACATTCACAAAAGCAAACAATAAAACAATAGACAGAAACAGACAAATTTTTGAACATTTGTAGAAAAACGGAATGGGGGTTTTGAGGGGAACCCATAACCTTGAGCATTAGTGAATGATTTATGCAGAGTACAATAAAAATAGCCAGCTCTTAAAGAACCCTGTTTTTTTGTTCAATAAACTTTATTGCCTTCAGTTTCTGTCACAGTATCAGGTTTATTCTCATAAAATCTGACTGTAAATATCACGGACCAAAAAAAAAAGGACACAGCTTTGCTTCTCCTTAAACCCGATTTTCAAAAGCTGCGAAAGCAGGAAGGAGGGAGCAAAGGAGAGAGAGAGGGAGATAGAGAGGGAGAGAGAGGGAGCGAGAGAAAGCGCAAAATAAATTACTTTACACCTGAATATCTCATATCTTTGGGGTGCACAATCATCATCATTCACGCATTTGTGTGTATATCTATATCTAGCCGACGCAAGTCAAAATAATATAAAAATTATGCGAAACCCAAAACGAACTGTCCGGTGAGTTCTCGGGGACTCTTTTTCTGTTGATCCACCCAAAGCTTTGATTCAAAAACAGCAACAAAAAGGTTGGATTTGCAGATGTAGCAGCGTCGATATTCCAATAGGTTTCTCACTCAACACTCTCCTCTCCTCTTCCCCCCAACCACTGCAAATAAAATTTGGTGTTAAAGACTGCAAATTGTTGGTTAAACATTGGAGTGTGGTCAGTGTTCAGTACTCCAGGATTACCTATAGTGCAGTCCTGCAGCTCAGTGCAGGAGTTAGAGCACTCGCCTCACAAGCGAGAGATCTGGGTTCGATTCCTGGACAGAGCGAAACGTTAGGTAAGTTTCCTTACTCCACACACACACGCCTCTGTTTACCTAGTAAGATTAGTAAGTAGGAACCCAGTCATTAGTCAATTGGCAGATTACTTTCTGGGGGTAACAATTCCTTTAAAAAAAAACTAATAAATTGGTCTCTTCAATCCACGGCTGTTTGAGGGACGCTGCTGTACACATTGGCTGCCGCAAAAATATACAGCCCACAAAATATACAGTCAATTCACTTTGCAGTATATTCTGTGAAGAGCTTTGAGACATCTCGAAGACCTGATGAGGCCCGATATCAAATGCAAGGATTATTATTATTATTATAGCTTGCATTAACCTCTGGTTAGAAGGCGTTGTGTTTGACTTTTGTCTCACCAAATCTTGCCAGAAATGGACCCAATCCCTCTGGAACCACCAATTAATAATAACAATAATAATCCTTGAATTTGACACAGTGTCTTATCACGTCGTTGAAGCATCTCCAAGCGCTTCACAGAATATACCGTAAAGTGTAGTGACTGTATATTTTGTGGGCAAAACACAGCAGCCAATTGTGCACCGAAGCGCCCCACAAACAGTCATGGATTGAGTGACCAAATTATTATTTTTTTGCAAAGAATTATTACCACCAGAAAAGCGATCCACCAATCGACTAACATCCAGGTTCCTACTTCCAGTGAGGTAAAGAGGGGCGTGTGGAGTAAGGAAACTTGTCTAAGCGGATTCGTCCTGCCCGAGAATCAAACTCGGGTCCTCTCGCTTGCGAGGCGAGTGCTCTAACCAATACGCTATAGGACTCCACAAGTCCTCATTCTATTCCCTCCATTTTGAAACGCCAGGATTCACAATTCGGCAAAAATAACCCCCAGTGTAGGGCCATTTCTCACACCGGAACAATCACTTTGAAATACGTTTGTGTCACATACCTTCAGAGTCAAAGGCAAATACTGATGAGATAAAGAAAACACACACACACAAGCACACATTGCAAAGCAATCAACTTCAAAAACCTACCTATTTTAGCCTCGTCGCTAACTTTCTCTTTGTTCCAAATTACTTCCTAAGAACCCGGCTGTAACTAATATTCGAAAGGTTTGATTTGGTGCTAAATTCCGTGCAAAAATAGTTATATGCCCACACAAAAAGATAATAATAATAATCCTTGCATTTGATACAGTGCTCTTCACGTCTTCTCAACGTATATACTGTAAAGTGAAGTGACTGTATATTTGTGGGCGAAACCCGGCAGCCAATTGTGCACAGCAATGTACCACAAACAGTCGTAGATTGAAAATGACCAATTTATTATTGCTTTGTTTTGGAGGGATTATTATTAGGCTCTGTGTGGAGTAAGGAAACTTGCCCGAGGTTTCGCCCTCTGCCTGGAATTGAGTGTGTCTCAATTGTCTCAGGTGTCTCGCTTTTAAGGCGAGTGCTCTAACCACTGAGCTACAGGACTCCACAAGATGTCCATCAGCGGGCACAAAGGGTCCAGCTAACCTGTAGACAATGCCATCTGTTGTATAATTAATCCCCAATCTCCCTCCACACTCCCCACCCCACACACTCACCGCCCTGTGTCACTGAAATATTAAGTGTTGCGTCCGAAATGTACTGGAGTTTAACCTTTGCCTTGTTAAGCTCGCCATTTCAACGTTTGTACTGGTTACAATGAAGGGTCATCAAGTCATTGACACTCACCCTGGCAAAGTGCTGTATGTGACTGATCTCAACAGTGCAATATTGGAAGAACCCACACAGTGTTGGGCTGCTGATCGCCTGCTCTGTGTTATCTTGGGGAAGCTGGGAGTTAAGAGGTTATACCGTGCAGATCATCACTCCCAAGAGAGGTTATCGGCATATCCATCCCAGCTCCCACACACTCCCCACCTCACTCTCTCAAATTGTTTTTGCCCTGATATACGCGGAAATTAATCACCGTTGTTTAAGAGTCTTCAAACCAAGCTGAGATTTCTACGCCTCCCACCTACACATTGAAATCCCAGAGATAGATTGTTCGGATGGAATGCCATCCTCTCTCCCTGGAGGGATGCATCCTGCTTACCTAATTCCGGAAAGTATTAGGCGCAGGTTGGCAAGAACCAAGGCTTGAGGGGAGCCCAGAGTGTGCAATGGGATAACTGCACTCTCCCAAATCTTAAGAGATATTGGAGAATGATCAAGATTCTGTCCAGTTTCGGTTTGGGGATTAGTATGGTTTGGTAATTTAAGAATTTTCCTCGGTTGGCCCAAAATAACCTTAAAAGTTTAAGAAGATAAAAAAAATCATAATAATCCTTACATTTGACATTGCGTCTTATCACGTCGTCAAGACGTCTCAAAGTGTTTCACTGGATATACTGTAAAGTGAATTGACTGTATAGCTTGTGGGCGAAACGTGGCATCTAATTGCGCACAACAGCGTCCCACAAATAGTCGTGGATCGGTCAAGAATATGGAGATGAGGTTTGTTTCAGGAATGGTTTTGACACTAGCGGAGAGGTTGAGGAGAAGCTTAGGGAATCCTGTTGACTAACTAGGTGGCCTCTGAACTGAAGCGATTGAAGAAGATTTAATTGAACAGTCTTCAGTCGTGGAAGTGAGGAGAGTATGAATAACAGCGCTTATTTTCCCTTCTTCTCCATGTTTCCGGTCTCCCTTCAGGCCATTTTCTTCCCATGGCTAAATTCACAGAAACTCATTTCCAGCCTCGCACTGAGAATCCTCAAATCCCTTTCTGTTAACTAACTTCAACCAGCGATGATACGGTCAAGGTTGCAGCAGGGCTGGGGGTGGGGGAGAAAGGATGTGGTGATGGATGTGGTCTGGGGTCTGAGGGAGATGCCCAATGAGAGATTGGCCCCTGTGCCACAAGCCACTCGTAAACACAAAGGCTTGAAACTTGGTTCCCATTTCTGACCCGCACCGGGCAGCTAACTAAGGACATTCCAACCCAGTCTGTCCAGCACTGTCCCGAGAGAGGGAGAGAGAGGAGAGAGGGGAAGCGAGGGGGAGAGAGAGAGAGTGAAAGGTAATTGTACCTCAATATTGACCGTGTCTGGGAGCTGGGAACGAGTCAACAGCCAAATGTCCATGTGAATAAGCTGAGCAGAACCTTGGCAGCGGTCGGTCGGAGAGAGAGTTACGCCCTGTGGTGGGGGTGGGGAGACAGGGGAGACGGAGATAAAGCAGAAAGTCCCGACACCGCACATCTAGTTACACCAGGGGGAAAGTGAAGAGAGATGCGTTGAGACCTCAGGGGCCGGTGAGTGGTGGGGACGGAGCGAGCGGGCAGGACAGAGCTGGGGGTGGGGTGCGGGGTAAAACGTGGGAGGGCGGGGCATGAGGGAAAAGAGACTGAATTTGGAGAGGGACTGGTCGTATAAGAGACACAAACCCACATGACTCCCCCCCAGCCCCAACCTTCTCTTCCCCCCAACCTCCTCACCCGGTGGGGGTGGGGGGTTGACGGGTGCCCAGCGAGACTCCGTGTTGTGATCTGGAGGCCAAGTGCTGGCGAGTGACCGTCAGAGCCTCTGCGCTTCCCAGTGACGTCCGAGAGAGTTCACTCCGTTGACTCAATGTTATGTGGTTTCGTCCTCGAGGGCAAAGAGCAGCGTCCCCCGCGGGATGTTGCCGGTGACCCCCGGGGTTTGGGTGGGGCCCACTCTCTCCGCAGGTTGTCTCGAGGTCAAGTGGACGGAGTCAGTTCCAGTTGTGGCCGGACACCTCAGAGGTCTGTGGTCTCCGACTCTGTGATCACCGTCGACAGTCAAAGGCCACTGATCCCCGGGGTCCTGGCCAGAGGTCGGGGCCTGCAGGGGTTGGAGTTCAGACGTGCATTTATTGAGCTCCTCACTGTGCAGGGAGCTGTACTGCTCACAGGGGTACCTGTTACACCACATGCTGAACTCAAACGTTTTCCTGGTGTAGATGACCTCCAGAGTGTAATAGATCGACCAGAAGACAGCAAAGCAGCCCAGTAACAGCAACATCTGAGGAGAGACACAGACACAGACCAAAGCATTTACTTAATTCATTTACATGAAGCACAGCTTCGCCTGTACAACATAATAATAGTAACAATAATAATCCTTGCGTTTGACACAACGCCTTATCACGTCTTCGAGACGTCTCAAAGCGCTTCACAGAATACACTGCAAAGTAAATTGATTGTATATATCTTGTGGGCGGAACATGGCAGCCAATTGCGTCCCACAAACAGTCCAATCTATACTGCCCCCCAACCCCCACCCCCTCATCGAGGGCAGCGTGGAGCGGGATGTACCTTGAGTGTGTTTGGTGCCATCACAGTCGATTCCTGGTCGGAGATTTCCAATCCCAAGGGACAAGGCAGTGAGAAGCTGTCGTTCAGGAACTGTCCGCTCATCGCTCCCTCCACCAGCCTTCCCACCGGAAACACACACTCGTCAGACAACAAACAAAATACCCACAGAATAGTCACCCTCTCGCCCTGTCAGGCACCGCACAGGACACTACTTAGAGCTTTTCCGAGAATAAGATTAATAATCCTTGATACAGCGCCTTATCACGTCTTCGAGAATTCTCAAAGCGCTTCACAGAACATACACAGAACGCAGAAGCAAATTGACTGTACATTTTGTGAGCAAAATATGGCAACCAATTGCGCACAGCAGCGTCCCCACAAACAGCTGTGGATCGAGTGACCAATTTACTATTATTATTTAAAAAAATATCGATTTCAAAGGGATTATTACCCCTGGAAAAACTGCACATAAAGCAACTTATTGACTCAGATATAACTCACTCGGGATCTAAAAACTCCGGGTTCAAATTCTTGTGGTTTTACTCATCTGTTAGAGACTGAAAAGTCAAGATCGATGTTAAATGCTGACTTGGCACGGAATGGGAGATGGGGGATGGGGGAGGTAAGGTGTATTTCCCCCCTGTCGAAGCTGGTTATCAGGAAACTTACCCACTGAAATATTCCAACAACAACAACTTGCATTTAGATAGCGCACTTTATGCAGTGTAGTGTCTCGGAGTGATTAACAGTGGCGGAATACAGCGTCGAGTTGGGGGAGGGAAGGGGTGACTGGAACCACGGTCGAACAGGAAGTTCTTTAGGTGTGATCCAAACAAGGGGAAGGAGGGGGCAAGGCAGAGGGAATGAGGGAGAGAGTTCCAACGTTTTGAGGTGGATTTCAGTGGCTGATTTAACTGTTACAAATCCAAGGTGTCAATGATGGGTGCCCAGGCTCACCAACAAGACTTGGAAGTGTAGACACATCCTCAACCCTGTGAGCCAAAGCCATGATGGCCAAAGCACTGTGTGGCTTCCTCTTGACAGGGTGCGAGTGAGATCAGGAGACACGTTCTACTGGCTTGTGTTACCAAAGATCTAACACCATGGTCTTAATGTCACTGGGTTAGTGATAGCTTTCTAACCAAGGCTGGTGGTGGAATGGGGAGAAACCAGGTGATGTTGTAATAACCCAATGGGTCAGTCCGGGGGACAAACAAACAGCGGAAACAACATGCCCGAGAGAGTTGCATACACTGTTGGCACAAAAGGGGAATTGGTAGATGGAAGGTAAATTTCTTTCCCCCACCCCAACTCCCTTCCTACGCAAAAGACTGCAGATGCTGGATCCATTCAAATATTCTAGGCTCAAGTGGTTAGATGTTTGTTAGGTCAGAGTATCAAGGGATATGGGGCAAAGGTGGGTAATTGGAGTTGAGGTACAGATCAGCCATAATCTTATAGAATGGCAGAACAGGCTTGAGGGGCTGAATGGTCTCCTCCTGTTCACATGTATTAACCCAACCCTGCAAGTAGGCCCTCACCTTCTCCGTTGCTGGACATCTTCAAATGACCAGGAAGAGCCATAGAGGACAAGTTGGCTTTTCTTTAAGGAGCCCCTCTTCTGTTGTGAGTCCTTGCCTGGGGGTGGGGGGGAGGGAGGAAGGAAGAAAAGGAGGAAGAAAATAATCAGTGAAAATCGCTTTAAATTTGGAAACATCCCCTTGAACCCAGACCCCACCCCATCTCCCACTCAAGCGTGCAACACACACACAGCATCCCCCCCACCACCACACACACACACAAACAAACACAGTGCCCCCCCACCACCACCACCATACACACACACAGCGCCTCCCCACCACCACACATACACAGTGCCCCCCCCACCACCAACGCACACACACACACAGTGCCCCTCCACCACCAACACACACACACAGTGCCCCCCCACCACCACCACACACACAATGCCCCCCACCACCAACACACACACACACACAGTGCCCCCCCACCACCACCACACACACAATGCCCCCCCACCACCAACACACACACACACACAGTGCCCCCCCACCACCACCACACACACAATGCCCCCCCACCACCAACACACACACACACACAGTGCCCCCCCCACCACCACCACACATACAGCGCCCCCACCCCCACCCACACAGTGCCCCCCCACCCCACACACACACAGCGCCGCCCCCCCACCACCACCACTACCCACACAGAGAGCGCCCCCACCACACACACACACACACAGCGACCCCACCCCCACCACACACACACACACAGCGCCCCCACCCCCACCACATACGCCCCCACCCCCCCACCACCACCACACACACACACACACATAGGGCCCCCCCCCCCACCCAACACCAACACCACCACGTATACACACACACACACACAAAGCGCCCCCCCCACCCCCCACCCCCACCACCACCCACACACACACACACATCTCCGCTTACACATGCCACAGTTCTCACATTGTATTCATTAGATTTTCCCAACTGTTTGGCTTCGGAACAAACCAAAAGGTCTGTTATTGCACTTTTTGGAGCTTTAATCACAGCAAGATGTGACGGATAAAGATTTCATCAGAACTAATCCCAACAGTTTCAAAGGCCTGTTTTGCAATAAGTGTCACGCCAGCCCAGGCCAGGCCGTGAAGTCTGCTGTAAAACCCTCCACAGATTGGGCGGGGAGGGGTGGGGGGGTGGTAGTTTAAAAACCTCTCGCTGCTCACAAGATCAGTTCAGATGAAGACAAACCTTCAGCCCATCTGATCGCATCCCTCGAGAAACACACACCCAAACGATAGCTTCCAAAAGGGAATTGGATATGTACTCGAAAAGGAAAAATTTGCAGGGCTATGGGGTAAGAGCGGGGGAGTGGGACTGGTTGGGGTAAGAGCGGGGGAGTGGGACTGGTTGGGGTAAGAGCGGGGGAGTGGGACTGATTGGGGTAAGAGCGGGGGAGTGGGACTGGTTGGAGTAAGAGCGGGGGAGTGGGACTGGTTGGGGTAAGAGCGGGGGAGTGGGGCTATGGGGTAAGAGCGGGGAGGTGGGACTGGTTGGATAGCTTGTCAAAGATACGGCACAGGCCTCCTTCTGTGCTGTAAGACTCTATTGTTCTACTGCTACACCCCCCACCATCACATCACCACGCTGGCCTCAACCAACCTTCTAGCAACTCTGTTCCAGTCGTTAATTATCCTCCGGTTAAACAAAATCTTGTCTGCCCTGAACTGACCCTTTGCAAACTCTAAACGCTTGTCCTACAGTCCAGCTAGAACACAAATTTAGAGGGGTGGAGGGCAGGGAGGGTTTGGTCTCTTTGACCTCACCTTCGATCAACCCTCCTCCTCCCACCCTTCCTGCCCTCGACCCCTCCTGATCCCAACCCCCAGCTTGGGGGCAAATTCCTGACTGTCCAGCGCCTTGGGATGTCCTCCCGGTGTCATTTGTTGTTGTTGTTGCAGATGGACCCTAAAGTATTATTCCAGCTGACTCCCTCGTTGGGGGAAGATGCTTTATTGAGCTCAAAGGCCCAAGCTTCCCCCTTGTGTGGAGTCCTGTAGCTCAGTGGTCAGTGGCACTCGCCTCACAGGCGAGATGCCTGGGTTTGAATCCCGGTCAAGGCGAAACCTTGGGCAAGTTTCCTCACTCCACATGCCTGATAATAATCCCTCAAGAAAAAAAACAGGACAATAATAAATTGGTCACTTCGATCCATGGCTATTTGTGGGACGCTGTTGTGCACAATTGGCTGCGTCAGGGAGAGTTGAAGCAGAGTTGCTGAAAACCCTTCAATTCACTCCTACTCCACGTTAGCCAGGTTTCCGTCAGCTTTTATATATAAAAAAAGAGATTCCGGAAGGTATTCGTCACTCCTTAGTTCTTACTTTTGTAAGAAACTTACAGGACAAAACCACTTCAAAATTAAGGCTGTATTGAAGAATTTGCCAAATTCTGAGCACTTTAGGATGTTACATAAATAGAGGAAATTCAGCGACCGAAGGGGGAGAGAGAGTGGGAGCCAATTCCCCAACAGTAAATAGGAGTCCTGTAGCTCAGTGGTTAGAGCACTCGCCTTGCAAGCGAGACACCTGGGTTCGATTCCCGACAGGGCAAAATGTTGGGCAAGATTCCTTACTCCACACGTATGTTTGCTTAGTAAGTAGGAACACGGTTGTTAGTCGATTGACGGATCGCTTTTCTGGGGGTAATAATACCTTAAAAAAAGAATAATTTGGACACTCAATCCAGACTGTTTGTGGGACGCTGCTGTGTGCAATTAGCTGCCGTGTTTCGCCTACAAAATACACACTAAATTCACTCTACAGTGTATTCTGTGAAGCGCTTTGAAACGTCTCAAAGATAAGGCGCTGTATCAAATGCAAGGATTATTATTATTATTAATTACCTGAATCATGGACGGTAAGCTTATAGATGCCTTCTGCTCTCTCACCCCAGCACCTCACAGTGGAAAACATCCAGTCATTAAAGCCTGAGGCGTCACTGGATAACAGGGAAAAACAGCAGATTTATAACTTAGTGAAGGCTCATAACACACTGATGTGCAGAGAAAACCACAACAGAGATCTGTAGCAAAACTAACCAGGTTACGATGATGAAGACATAAGAACATAAGAATTGCTGAAAGAATGGCTGTCAAGTGCAGTGACTGTGTATTTGAAGGCAAACACAGCAGCTAATATTAATAATAATAGTTCTTGCATTTGATATAGCATATTTTTTCCGACTTTGAAACGTCTCAAAGCGCTTCACAGAATATACTGTAAAGTGGATTGACTGTGTATTGTGTGGGTGAAACGTGGCCACCAGTTTTGCACACAGCAGCGTCCCACAAACAGCTAAGGAGTGAGTAACCAATTTTATTGGGGGGGATTACTGAGTAGGAGAAACTCACTTCTCTTTTCGATTTGCACCGCGGGATCTTTAATGTCCACCTGAACAGGCAAACGGGACCTTGTAAAGTCTCATATGAAGGACGGCACCTCCGACAATTCAGTGCTCTCCCCCCCACCCCCGTTAGCCTAGAATTCCTCAAGCGGGGCATGAACCCACAACCTGGAGTCCTGTAGCTCAGTGGTTAGAGCACTCGCCTCGCAAGCAAGAGACCTGGGTTCGATTCCCGGCAGGGATAAACCTCAGGCAAGTTTCCTTACTCCACACACACGGCCGATAATAATCCCTCAAGAAAAAAATATAAATGGGTCACTTAAATCCACCACTGTTTGTGGGACACTACTGTGCGCAATTGGCTGCTGAGTTTTGCCCCCAAATATACACTTTACGGTATATTCTGTGAAGCGTTTTGAGACATCTCGAAGACTTGAAAAGGCTATATCAAATGCAAGGATTATTTATTATTTATTATAACCTTCGGGCTGAGCCGGGCTTTTAATCTGGAGTGGAAACCCGCCAATGAAAATTTAATTTCAAGGTTGCTCAATCTCTATCCACCTAATTCTTGTTGAATGCTCGCGAAATTATGCACAATCACATCAAGTCGTGTACTGTTGCTGAATAAATATTTTCACAAGTTTCATTTCCCGCTGAATCAACACACAAGCAAACTATGTGAACTCCTCAGTTAGAAATCCTTAAAGGGCCGGCAAACAAGTCACTGTGTTACAGAATACAACTCATATCAGATTTCCGAGGGTTTAGAGGCCGGGAGAGGACATTTCATATTAAAAAAATTCAGATTTATCTGTTGCTGCCAACAAGGATAAACATAGACTTGTCTCAACCTTGAGACATTCCTTGGAAGTTTTGTAAACGTTTATGGGTAAACGCAGAATTCACACCAGTTTGCCGCTGTTTAACTGTTCACATCTCTTCTCAAAGTCAAGATTGAGCTCGATGCGATTTTGCCCGCTGTGATTTTAACCAGCGTATGCCCGCGTCTCTCCCACCCACACCCAAAGGGCAGGTTCGGGAGAGATGTCCATGTAGAGGGCAAGACCAATAAGCCTTGCGTTTGGTGCAATGTCAGAACATCAGAACATCACAGGATGTCACCATGTGCAAATTGGGCTGTCACCTTCGCTTACAAACACATAGCGACTACACTTGACAGTGAATCGCTTTGAGTCATCCTCCCAGCGAGATAGAATCAATAAACAGGGACAGACAAACAGATTAATACACAGAGAGACCACACACACACATATATATATTTGGGGAGTAGAGGGATTAAGAGATACAGTAAAACTCGCATAAATCTGATCGGTATAAATCATATAATCGCCTAAGTTGTATATTTGCCCCAAGTCCCACTGAATTTCCTACAATTTATTTATAGGAAAGATTCACATAACTCATACTTTGTATAAGTCATATTAAATGTATGGTCCCAACTGATACGACTTATGCGAGGTTTACTGTTCAGCAAAAGGGTGGGTAAGGCATTGGGACTAAAAGATCGACAAAGATCCAAGAAAAATGATTGGAGAGGCTTGATGGGCTGAATGGCTTCCTATTATTTTCCTGTGTTTCTCAGTGGGTTATCTGAAGAGTTTACTGGTGCAGTTGCCGCAGCTGCAGATGTGGCAGGCGGGGGACTGGAGCCAACAGTGTTACATGCGAGCTCCCACAACGCAATCCACAGAAGTGAGGCAGGAGATTATTTGTCCCCGACTGTCCCGCCAGCGCCTTGGGATGTCCTCCTGACATGAAAGGCGCTTTAACAAATGTAATTTATTGTTGTTGTTCTGCGCTTTGTATCTGCCAACAACACTGAGCAGCTATGAGACAGGAGTGTGTGGCCATTTTATCTCCTCTCTCTCTTTCGCCTTGAAGATCCTCTAACACTCATCTACAAATACCTTCATGCCCTGGCACCTCTCTGCCTCTCCGACCTGCTTACTCCCCACTCCACCACCCGCCACCTCTGCTCGGCCGGCTCCGGCCTCCTTCTTGTCCCTCGTCCCCTCCGCTCCGCCATGCTTTTAGCCACTAAAGCTTTGGAACTCTCTCCTTCAATCCCTCCGCCTTACCCCCTTCCTTCCCCTTTTTCAGATCGCGCCTGAAGACCTTCCCCGCGCTCGTTAAAAAAAGTCTGTCTAAATTAAGACGAGCTTTCCTCCCCTGCAATTCCTCTGTACGCTCTACAGTAAAACCCCGTGAAGCACTTTGAGACGTCTCGACGTGATTATAAGGCTTTATATCAAAGGAGAGGATTATCATGATGAAGTTTGAAGGCAAAAGAGTCCGACAGTCTAAACCATAACCATTGCTCACCCGTCACTCGCCATATGCCTTAATATAATAATGATAAACCTTGCGTTTGATGTAGCGCCTTCGAGATGTCTCAAAGCGCTTCACAAGATATAGTTTAAAGTGAATTGACTGTGAATTGCAGGCCACGGCCCATGGAAACTGAGCAGATGGAATGAATCTTGGCCTGTGCACAATCTGTATTTGCACCAAGAGGTTCTTGTTCTCAGTGGGAGGGAAGGTAGCAGATAAGCTCGGCACCTGGAAAAACAACCAGATTATAAAAGAAATCTCTCCACATAGCAGTCAGCGGCTGAACTCAGGCTCCTCTGTACAGCTCCGGCCTCCCGCTTGTCCACTCTTTAAGCGCTCCGAGACACTGCTCCGCCTGAAGGGCACTATTTTAATGCAAGTCCTTGTTGTTGTTGCACACAGTAACAGCGACACTGGATTAAAACCAATGTGGCTCATACACAGGAAATCAGGGACAGAAGGACACTGACCAGCCCAGGAAGCCAGCTCCACCACAGGTCATAACCCAGCCCATCTGTTATACTCCCCTCCATCTTCCCACACTGCCATATCCCTGAATATAATATAATGATAATCTTGCGTTTGATATAGTCCCTTATCACGTCTTCGAGGTGTCTCAAAGCGCTTCATAGGATATACTGTAACGTGCAGTGACTGTGCATTTTGTGAGCAAAACGCGGCAGCCAGTTTGCGCACAGCAACGGCCCACAAACAGCCATGGAGTGAGCGACCAATTTTATTTGGGGGGATTGTTGGCCAGGAGAGAGAGAGAGAGAGAAACTCCCTTCTCTTTTTATAACAGCCCCGCGGGATCTTTAATGACCACCTGAACAGGCACAGCCGGGTTTAGTTTAACGTCTCATCCGAAGGACGGCGTCTCCGACAATACAACAACCCCCAGCGCTTGATTGGAATATCAGCTTAGACTGTGTGATTCCCAGTCCCAACATGGGGCTCGAACCCACAACCTTCAGATTCTGAGGGAAGAGAGAGAGAGAGAGAGAGAGTAAGAGAGAGAGAGTGTGAAAGAGAGAGAGTGTGAGAGAGAGAGAGAGAGAGAGAGAGAGAGCGCCAGCAACTGAGCCAGGCTGACACACACTTACTTAACGTTTTCACTCCGCAAGTCTCGCTTGCCTGTGCAACTCACAGTCACTACACTTCACACAAGACGCATCACAGAGAGAGAAAATGAGGATACATGATCTAAACTTAGAAGAGGAAGAGAAGGAGAGAATGGCAGTTGGGACAGAAAGGGAGAAGAGAGGAACAGAGGAAGGGAGTGGAGTGTACGTATGTGGATGCGTGAGTGAGTGAGCGAGTGAGTGAGTGAAGAGAGGGAGGTCAGGAGACCTCTTGTACTGGCTTGTGTTACCAAAGCTTTAACAGTCCAGCTGACAGATGCTCAACACCTCTCTGATGTACAAATCCTCCTGGAGCCGTGCACTCAGGCCCCATCACCATTAAGGCGGTAGAGACTGAACAGTTCGCAGCAGAGCTGCAGGGCTAGTCCACACTCCAGGATGTAGAACGAGATCAAAAGCAGTAGCGAGAGCAGGTCTGGCAGTTTTTAGGGCACCTGAATAACAAGTAGAACACCTGAATAAGTGGAGTCTTGTAGCTCAGTGGTTAGAGCCCTCGTCTCGCAAGCGAGAGACCTGAGTTTGATTCCCAGCAGGGGAACCTTGGGCAAGTTTCCTCACTCCACACGCCTCTGTTTACCCAACAGTAAGTTAGGAACCCGGTCGTTTGTTGATTGGAGAATCACTTTCCGGGGGTAATAATCTCCACAAAAAAAATTTGGTCACTCAATCCACGGCTGTTTGTGGGACGCTGCCTGCGCAATTGGCTGCCGCGTTTCACCCACAGAATACACAGTCGATCCACTTTAGTCTGTGAAGCGCTTTGAGGTGTCTCAATGGCGTGATAAGGCGCTGTATCAGATGGAAGGGTTATTAGTAGTAGAAATAGTCGAGGAAAAGCAGTGGAGGTATAAAGTCAGTCTGCTGTCGGCTTGCCTTGGCTATTTACCGTTGCCTCATTCTCTTACTTCTCTGATCTACAAATCTGAATTTGACCATAATTTAATGCCACAGTCCTGTGTACATAATAGGGCATTTTGTAGCAAATGTTGGCCAGGACTCAAGTTAAAGGGAGAAAATATGAAGGTCTCACAAGTGTCTTCACTCCTTAAATAAGCTCAAGTATAAATGCCTCAACTGCCCACGGAATCGATGGCAATATTGCATCACAAGTCATTATTTTAAAATAAACCTTAGTTTTCATTCCCTTTTTCTTTGGTAAGCTGCGCTGTACAAGCAAGAAGATCGAAAGAGAAAAGGGAGACAGAGAGAGAGGGGGAGAGGGAGAGAGAAAGAGAGAGAGAGGGCAAGAGAAAGAGAGAGAGGGAAAGAGGGAGAGGGAGAGAGAAAATAATAATAAAAATGATAAACTTTAGTTTTTCATGTGGACGCCCTAAAGCACTTCACAGGAAATAATGTAAAGTGTAGTGACTGTGAGTTTTGTGAGCAAACGCAGCAGCTAATTTGCGCACAGTGACGTCCCACAAAGTGAGTGAACAATTTTATTTGGGGGATTGTTGGCCAGGACACAGGGAGAGAGAGAGAGAAACTCCCTTCTCATGGCTGTTTGTGGGACACTGCTGTGCACAAATTGGCTGCCGAGGTCGCCCACAGTCACTCCACTTCACAGTAAATCCCGTGAAGTGCTTTGGGACATCCACCCGGCACGAAAAAAATATGATTATAATTATTATTAAGGTAAGGCTCGGTTATTTCACTAGCAACTGAATTGAAATATCTTCTTGAAGATAATTGAACAATAAAAAAATATATTAAGTCAAAACAATAACGAGGAAAAGCTCCAACAAATTACGGACAGACCCTTAATACTGGGAACCAGGACAGGAAGAGGCCATTCGGCACATCCTATCCGTGCTGGTGCTCGCTCCCCCACTTGTTCATGAAAGTCTACCAATCTCATAATCTAGAGCACCATGACCTAGGAATGTCAAACACACTTAGCCAACCAGCCCAATGTTCCTGGGTCACTGGTAACATTCCTTCTGATTCAGAGGCCAAATTGCTACCAACTGAGCCAAACTGACATACACACATCATTTCCCCTCCTCCTCGCCCCCTCCCCCACCTTGCCCTCAACCCCCTCTTTGATCCCAAACCGCAGCTGGGGTGCAAACCCCTTATCGCTGTGTGCAAGTGGCAGCCGCGTTTCACCCACAAAACATAGAGTCAATTCATTTTAGTGTATTTTGTGAAGCGCTTTGAGACGTCTCAACGATGTGATAAAACTCTAAATCAAATGCAACGATTATTCTATTATTATTTGCTGTCCAGCGACTTGGGACGTCCTCCCGACGTGAAAGATGCAATTTGTATAAAAGCAATTTGTTGTTGTTCTAAATGGCAACAAGTAAATTATTTAGATTTGCTCCGGTGCTAATTCTAATTCCCCGCACCACCCCCAACACCCACCTCCCACCCCGTCCACTCCATTTAAAGAAAATTAACATAAGAAATGCTAGATGAAAAAAGACCAAGGTTCATCTAGTTCGCCTTCCACCTTTCCTGGCAATCGCCTGTGCATATGTCCCAAACTATCTCTGTACTATATCCCGTAATGCTTTTTCCTAAAACTATCTAATCTGTCAAGTGAATTAAATACAAAATTAAATTAAAAATCCTAAAATTAGTGCAATTTGGTTGCGTGAGTTCAGGCAGTCGATTGCACTCTCGCCTACAAGTCAGAAGGCTGTAGGTTTAAAAGCCGAACGTCTAATGGTGCTGATCGCACACTCTCCACTACGCTGCTTGTGTGTGTGCGCAGCAATGTTGGAGATCCTGTCCCTTGGATGAGATGTTAAACAGAGATCTCATCTGCGCCTGTTCGGGTGGACGTTAAAGATCCCGTGGGGCTATTAGAATAGAGAAGGGAGTTTCTCTCTCCCAATGTCCTGGCCAACTATGCCCCCTCAATAAAAATGTTCACTCATTTTCGCCCACAAAATATACAACAGTAACAAAATCACATTTGTATAGCGTCTTTCACATCGGGAGGACTATCACACAGTCACTACACTTTACAGTGTATCCTTTGAAGGGCTTTGAGATGTCTCGAAGACATGATAAGGCTCTCTATCAAATGCAAGGATTATTATTATTATTATTATTATGGCTGTTTGTGAGACATTACTGTTCGCAACTGGACAGCCACATTCCCTAAACAAAACAAAGTCACTACACTTAGCAGTAAAAAACCTGTGAAGCACTTCAAGACTTTGAAAGGCGCTAGACTAAATCCCAACAATATCCGATTAATAATCTCTTGAAAATATATAAATAAATACAAATAATTTGGTGACTCAATCCATGACAGTTTTTGGGGACACTGCTGTGTCCCCAAAATACACAGTCACTACACTTCATAATATATTCCGTGAAACGCTTTGAGACGTCCAAACCACGTGATAAGGCGCTGGGTCAAATGCGAGGATTATTATTATAATAATAACGTTAAGGAGAGAGGTGGAGAAGATTGGCGAGGACCAACGAAACACGGCTTGACGTGAGTGATTCCCATGATTCCCCGTGAAACTCACGTGTCCACGACACGCTTGGCCCCGATGAGGGAGGACATGCCACTGGGACAGAAGAGTTTGATCTCCAGTTTGCCTCGAGCCGGGTGGGTGATGGTCAGGGTCACCGCTACGTGTTCTAGAGTCTTCATTCCAGACAAGTTCAGGTCCTCCGCGGTTACTACGGAAACACAAAAAATATTCACGTGCCATTTAATTAAAAGTAATTCATGGGGCAGGTGATGGGATGGGAGGAGCGAGACTCAACCAAGGCCCTACTGGGTGCAACCAGTTTTGTGGAGTCCGGTAGCTCAGTGGTTAGAGCACTCGCTTTGCAAGTGAAGACACCTGAGTTCAATTCCCGGCAGAGGGCCAAACCTTGGGCAAGTTTCCTTACTCCACACAGAGCCTAATAATAATCCCTCCAAAACAAAACAATAATAAATTGGTCATTTTCAATCCAATGTCTGTGGGACATTGCTGTGCGCAATTGGCTGCCGTGTTTCACCCACAAAATATACAGTCACTAGACTTTACAGTATATCCTGTGAAGCACTTTGAGATGTCTCGACAACACGATAAGGCTTTGTATCAAATGTGCAGTGCAATACATGGCACAATCAAAAGGAATAGGAGGAGGCGGTACTGCGCCTGTTCCATTGCTTTATTAGATTGTGGCAGAATAATGCCTTTTCGCCACATTCCTTACCTCCTGGAGTCAAGTGGGCAAAGCATCAAGCTGGGCTCAAGCTGCAATGTTCTACCCTTTCTCTAATATAGTCAAATAGCCCATTGGAACTCCCCCAATTAAAGGGTCATTGATGAAACAAGTGGTCACTCTATTAGCCAACTATCGGAATGTGCTTCTATGTCGGGAGGAGGAACATGAGGCACAAAAACATCTTTAGTGGAGATAATAATAATAATCCTTGCATTTGATACAGCGCCTGATCAAGTCTTCAAGATGTCTCAAAGCGCTTCACAGGATGCACTGCAGAGTGAATTGACTGTATATCTGTGGGTGAAACGGAAGGTAGAAAGAAAGAAGAGGAAGGGTGGAGTTCCAAAGAGCGAGGACAGAGAGGCTAACAGTGAAACAGCGCTTGTGGACATACAGCCCCCCGATCAGACGGGGTGGGGTGTTGGCACGTGCTGTACTAACCGCCAGAACCAACTGATGGTGAACGGGTGGCGGGAGACTAGAAAAATCCTTGATCCGCATTTTACTGACGTCCACAATTCAGCAGCTGTAACATTGCCTTACATGGTGAGGGAGACAGCAGAGCCTGGCTGGCTGCCCTCCAACAGCAGCAGAACAACCGCTCTTGCTCAATTTAATGTTTGCCTTACATTTCCTCTAGTTTTTTTTCCTTCCCTGCCCCCTCCCCCCCCCCCCCACCTCCCTTCTCTCTCTCTCTCTCTCTTAAAAAAAAGAGACACGTCACTTTTGTTTAAGCCAAAAACTGATAAATCAGACCGCACATCCATTACATCATTGCCTAGACGGTTTTTTAACCCTTTACGGCCACTTCTCTTCCTACCCTCTCTTTAGTCCACTGCCCTCATTTCTCTTCATCCGATACAGCCAAATTCTTAGCATTGCTCTTAAAAGTGTGTTGCTGTGCACGGAAAGGAATGAATTGAGAAAGACAAAGAAAAAAGTGAATTGGGGGTGAGGTTAAATTACTACTGTATTTCAGTCTTGAGAGAAGACCTGGCAAAAGGGACCTTATATAGCGTACGTGAAAAAAAGAGAATTGGCTTAACAAATCACACAGAGCAATACTGCACGGAAACAGGTCAGGTAATAATAATGATATTTGATACAGCGTCTTTTTACTTTCAAAGCCCTCCATGGTCTTGCTCCCCCCGACCTCTGCGACCTCCTAACCCCTATCACCCTGCTCGCTCCCTCCGCTCAGTGGGCTCCAGCCTGCTTCACGTCCCCCGTCTCGCTCGCCCCACTATTGGCGGGCGGGCCTTCCACCACTCTGACCCCACCTTCTGGAACTCCATCCCGCAGTCCCTCCGCTGCACCCCTCCCTCGCCTTCTTGAAGACTCATCTCAAGACCCTCCTCTTCGACTGTGCTTTCGATTTCCCTGCTTCCCCCCCTGCCCTCCACCCTCCCCGATCCTACCCCGGGCCCGAAACTCTGACTGTCCAGCGCCTTGGGACATCCTCCTGACGTGAAAGGCGCTATACAAATAAAAAAAATTTTGTTGTTGTAACGTCGCTGAGACGTCTCAAATCGCTTCACAGGATATATTGTTAAGTGTAGTAAAAGTGTATTTTGTGAGAGAAACTCAGCAGCCAGTTTGCGCACAGCAGCGTCCCACAAACAGCCGTGACCAATTTCATTATGTGGGCGATTCGGCCAGGACACCGGGAGAGAGAGGGGGAGAGAGAGAGAGAAACTCCCTCCTCTTTTCGAATAGCGCCTCGGGATCTTTAACGTCCACCCGAACAGGCAGACGGGTTAACGTCTCATCCAAAGGACAGCGTTTCCAACAATGCCACACGCGCCCCCCCAGCGCTGGTTGGAGCTACAAAGACACCAAAGGCATTTTGTAAACGGTAGCTGGTGTGCCAGCGAGCGGGTGGTTAGAGACTGGATGAAACAAAACCACTTCACAGAGGGTTAACCTTATAAGGATGAGAGAGCCAAGCCAATACTGTGGCACCAGGTTCCATCTCGCTGCTTCTCAGACTGAGTGTAGCGAGGTGACTCAGGAGATTACTGACAAAAGGGAGAGAGAAAAAAAATATTATGTGATGCCGATGGAGCCTCAGGGTTCGTTTGCTATAATACTTCCAAGAAACTGCCTTGTAGTAATAACACAGCGTTGCTGACAGAATGATGGACGTCGCGTTGCAGTCCGTTCCTGTAAATGTCGAGTATCTTTCAACCACAGAAACCTGGTGCAATTTATCTACAGAATAGCCGGCTGAACCGATTCCGGAATTTGGGCTCTCTCAGACACGAACATTTTTTGCTGTTAACAGATGGATTTACTGTTTGTTCAACATTTTTTTTTCAAGATCGTGTCTCGTCTCTGCCTCCCTCCCCACTCCTTTCTTGAAGTCATTTGACTTCTTCTTATTTTGCCCTTTTCCAATGGGGTACAGCCTCGGTACCTTAACGCCTCCTCAGCAACTCACACTTATAATAATAATCCTTCATAATCTTTGCATTTGATACAGCGCCTTATCACATCGTTGAGACGTCTCAAAGCGCTTCATAGGATATAGTGTAGAGTAGATGGACTGTGTATTTTTTGGACGAAACCCGGCAGCCAATTGCGCACAGCAGCGTCCCACAAACAGTCGTGGATTGAGCGACTAGATTTCTTTTTGAAGGGATCAGTAATAATAATTACACCAATCGACTAACAACCGGGTTCCTATTTAATGCCGGGTAAACAGAGGCGTATGTGTGGAGTAAGGAAACTTGCCTAAGGGTTTGCCCGGGAATCAAACTCAGGTTCTCTCACTGGCGCAGTGACTGCTCCAACCCCTGAGCAGCCGGACTCCACGAGCCGGGCTGCGATCCTCGCAAGCTCTCCTCTGACTGACGGAGGTGCTGTGTTACAGGGGTCAGGATTGATGAAGCTCAGGTGGGTCCCATCACAATGGAGGGCGCTGCCAATTCTTGTGCATAGTTCACATGTGCAACCAAAAGGAAGTGACATCGGCCGGGATCCGGCGACCTGGAAGTCGGCCATTTTGTTTTCCCAAGCCTGGATCGTAACCCCCATCCTCTGAGATATTGGGCCCGGGGCGATGGTGCTGTTGTTGTTCTGAGGTTATTGGGGTCGAGATTTGATTTATTCCCGATTTATATCCCGGACTCTGCCGGAAACTCTTACTCACCATTCCACACAACCTCCAAGACTTTGGGATGTAGGGGAATGTCCTTTCCCTCCTTCTGAACAGGGCTACTGTACGAGGTGAGGTAAGGCACAGACTCCCAGATCTGCATCGCAAAGAGGCAGAGAGAGGACATCAATTTCACAGCCATTAAAACCAGACAGTTTTTGGGAGGAGACCTCAGCCCAAGTGAAGTCACACCCTGAGCACCTGTTAAAGCACCTGGGCACAAATCCCTACTCTCACTGGTAAGGGAGCCCGTCTCAAGACTCCCCTCTTCGACCACTCCTTCGGTCACACGCCCACCCCCACCCCCACCGCCCTCCACTCCTCCTGAACCCAACAGGAAGTAACATCAGCAAATCCTTGACTATCCTTGGGACGTCCTCCTACGACGTTGAGAAACTGTCCTTTAGTTAAGTCCTGTCTGTACGTTTAGGCGCAAGTTACAAATTGGGCATTATTTTCAGTAACACAAACTCGTCTTCAATTCCCTTCACGCACTGGTACCTCCCTCCCTCTCCACCTCCTTCCCTCCCTCTCCACCTCCTTCCCTCCCTCTCCACCTCCTTCCCTCCCTCTCCACCTCCTTCCCTCCCTCTCCACCTCCTTCCCTCCCTCTCCACCTCCTTCCCTCCTCTCCACCTCCCATCCTCTCCACCTCCCTCCCTCTCCACCTCCCTCCCTCTCCGACCTGCTCACTCCCCAATCCACTACCCACAGTCTCTGCTCAACTGGCTACGGCCTCCTGCTTGTCCCCTCTGTTGCACCATTGGCGACGGCGCTTTCAGCCACTACTCCGCGAAATTCTGGAACACTCTCCCTCAATCCCTCCGCCTGATCACGCCTGAAAACCGTCCTCTTCAACCGTGCCTCCAGTCACCTCCCCCTCCCCCCGGCTTAGCGTCAAGCGCTCGGAACGCTACCCTGCGTGAGGGTAGTTGCATGACCCTCCCCCCTCTCATCTCCCGTCATCTCATCACCACCATCGCTAACCTTTGCGGCATTGACCAACCGCCACGCGTTGAGCAGCCCGAAGCCGTGCTTGTGACTGTGGCTTAACCCGGCTCCGTTGATCTGCCATCCAGCGATACGGTCATCAAACTGGAACGAGAAGAGACGAGAGCAGTAAAAAAAAGTAGCAGCAAAAGGGGTAACGGAAATCTCTCCCTCCCCCAAAAGGCTGTGGATCCATTTAAATTTTCAAGACTGAGGTCATTCGATAAGATTTATGTCATGTCAGGGTATTAAAGGTACGGGGCAAAGGCGTCTGAGGTACACACACCTTTGGAGTTGAGGTACAGATCAGCCATGATCTAATAGAATGGCTCAAGGGGCTGAATGGCCTCCTCCTATTCCTATGTAAGAGGTGCTGTGTGAGAGGCCTTGTTTAAAGACGCATCCTTCTTCACCTCCTTTCGCTCCTTGTGCCACCCCCACCAGCCACGCACCCACACACACACCCTGGTACCAACTTGGCTCAGTTAGTAGAACTGTCGCCTCAGCCAATCATGCATTTCAGATCAGGACTCTGAGCTCAGGTTCTTGACTGATTCTGCAGTGCAGTGATGGGGGGGCGTGTGGGGGAGGTGGGGGCGGTGGGCATCCCTGCATTGTCGGAAGCGCTGACCTTCGGATGTGACACTGACACAAATGTCCCGTCTGTACCTGTTCAGGCGGATGTTAAAAATCCCACAGGTCTATTGTGGAAAAGAGAAGAGAGTTTCCCTCTCTCTCCCTCGCTCTCTCTCCGGGTGTCCCAGCCGACAATCGCCCAAATGAAAATGAGTGTGTGGCTGCTTGGCTGTTTGCGGGACACTGCTGCATGGGTGTGAGTCACTACACCGGGCAGCGATTCCTCGTGAAGCGCTGCGAGACGGCTGACGTTTTTAGGCGCTGTATTAAAAGTGAGGGTTATTCCCGTCAATGACAGGTTCGTGCTATCATGTTCCTCGGTTCCAGAGCCTCAAAATCCGACGATGATTAACCCGGACACCATTAATCCGGTGCATATGGTGTCAATGTGGGACGGACGAGAGTGGAAAGAAAGTTTATTTTCTTTAGAAACTCGCCGGCTCTCAGAAAAAAACCTCTCCAGGGCAAAGCTGTGAGCCGGCAGATACAGGTCAGGAAGGTCCCTTTCTATGAAACGCGAGATGAGGTACTGAAACCTGCCCCCACCCCCCACTCAGGGGGGGCAGAGGGGCTCGTTTAGGGTCTCACACTCCCCGTGTCCAGGTCTCTCATGGAAATTGGCATGAGTGGAAGATCGGGAAAAATAATAATAATTCTTGCATCTGATACAGCGCCTTATCAGTCTTCGAGACGTCTCAAAGCGCTTCACAGGATATAGTGTAAGGTGAAGTGACTGTGTGTTTTGCGGGGTAAATGCGTCATCCAATTGCGCACAGCAGGGTCCTCACAAACAGAGGTGGATGGATTGAAGTGATCACATTTTTTTATTTATTTTTTATTTATGTAATTTTTAAATGTAATTATTTATTTTGTTTGAAAGGATTAATTATTCCCGGAAAGCGATCCGCCAAGAGACTGAGACAACCAGGTTCCTACTGACCGCTGGGTAAACAGAGACGTGTGGAGTAAGGAAACCTCCCTAAGGTTTCGCCCTGCCCGGGAATTGTATCCGGGTCCTCTCGCTTGCGAGGCGAGGGCTCTTACCACTGAGCTACAGGACGGGACATTTGTGTCAAAAAATGCTAAATGGGGTAGAGATATTGAAAGGGCATCGAGGCTGACTGTAGTGTGAGTGACCCCCAACCCCCACCCCCCCCACCCCCCACACTCACCCTGGTGGATGTGAAGACAATGATATGCTGGACGTCTCTCCAGGTCAGACACGGACGGACCTGCAGCATCAACGCCACCATCCCCGCAGCCAGGGGGGCCGCAGCAGAGGTGCCCGTGTGCCCCTCGGTGCAGCCCGTGCCCTCCCGCATGTCCCAGTCTGACGTCACCTGTAAGGGGCGCAGCACAGCACCAGAGAAAGAGAGAAAGACTGGTGTTAGAGGGATCACAACGACAACGACTAAAATCATCACCGCAAAGTGGCCGGTCCCTCACACACACACAACGCACATACATCACATACATACACCACATAGAAACACACTACATATATAGCACACACACACACACACACACCGCACAGACACACACCACATACAGACAAACACAGGCTGTCATCATCCCGAAATGCTACTGAAAATGGGAACCGGTCAGTGTGGCCTGAGCTGCTGGATGCTGCACCTATTTTAGGATTTATTTATTTTTTGTTTGTTTAAAATGAACCAACATATTTTCCCGCTCTGATGTCACTTCTTTGGCTCTCCAGAAAAACAGAACAGTGATTCATCTCAGTTACTGCTCACTCGTTTGCTCCATCCCTCGTTCCATTTCTCTTTTTGCTCGCGCTCACTATCTCCTCACTCCATCTCTGTGCCTGTGTATTTCACAAGCACACACGCGGCAACCATTTTGCTCACAGCCACGTCCCACAAACAGCCATGAAGTGAACGACCAAACTTATCTTGTTGGGGTGGTGGGGGGGATTGTTGACCAGGGACACACCCGGAGGGAGAAACTCCCTTCTCTTTTCCGACAGTATCTCAGGATCACGGTGACAGAATTTGAAACCATTCAGACAAATATGACGCCCCTCTCTCCTCCTCTCTCTCGCCCCCGTGCACTGCTCCAGAGTGTCAGCCTAGACCATGAGCTCAGTCGGGAATGATTGTGGAATGCAAGTCTCGAAATTAGAGGGTAGAACGCAAGGACGGGTGGGGGGGGGGGGGGAAGGAGGGAGAAATCATGTCAAAACGAGGGAAATATTCACGTCCCGCTGATGCAAAAGGCGCTGTATAAATATAAATCGTTGCATGTTTGATGAATTAAATACATCTCAGGGGGTCACAGGCAGTAAGTACACATCGATCTATTCACAACGGTTTCAGGGATAACAAACAAACGGACTCGAATGTCAAAGGGAAAGCACTGGATGTCTTTGGAATAACAGGAGCGGATGGCCAACTCCAACAAGATTGCCAGCTGAGAGCCCTTCCTGTTTACAGGCCTTGTGGTAAAGCCATCTCTCTCTATTACATCCTTCAGATGAGAGGTGAAACCGATGTTGGCCCCCAGATAAAGTTGGTCGCTCGCTCTCCGGCTGTTTGAGGGACGCCGCTGTGTGCAAATTGCCTGCCATGTTTCGCCCACAAAATACACAGTCAATCCCATTTACAGTGGTATCCTGTGAAGCGCTTTGAGACGTCTCGACAACATGATAAGGTGCTATATTAAATGCAAGGATTATAATAATTATTATTATTAATACATCCCGTGAAGAACTTTGGGAATATCCTCCCGACATTTTTTGTCAGGTCAGGGAACCATGGGATATTGAGCGAAGGCGGTTAATTGGAGTTGAGGTACAGATCAGCCATGATTTATTTGAAAGGAGGAACAGGCTCAAGGGGATGAATGGTCTCCTCCTGTTCCTATCTTCCTATGTTCCTAAGACAATGAGAAGACTTGTCCAGAATGCAAGGATAATTTATCTTTACTGAAGCCTGGACTCTCTAAGACTGCATTACAGAGAAGGGTTTAATCACACTGCGCACAGCAAAAGGCACGGAGCCCCAGTTTATTTTCCTTGTTCCTTTATTATTATATTTTCCTTCCAAGCAAAGACAGATCCAGATCAGACACCCCGTCTCCTGACATTATTTTCATTCCATTTGCTAGTTTGGGTTCCGCAGAACAGCTGAGTGAACAATAATAATAATAATCCTTGAATTTGATCAGCGCCTTATCACGTCTTTGAGACGTCTCAAAGCACATTCACAGGACAGACGGCAAAATGAATATTTTGTGGGTGAAACGTGGCAGCCAATTGCGTACAGCAGCATCCCACAAACAGTTGTGGATTTGAGCGACCAAATTATTATTATTATTATTATTTTTTTAAGGGATTATTACTCCGGGAAAAGCGATTCGCCAATCGACTAAGAACTGGGTTCCTGCTTACTGCTAAGTAAACAGAGGAGTGTGGGGTAGGGAAACTTGCCCAACGTTTCACCCTGCCCGAGAATCGAACCCGGGTTCTGTCGCTTGCAAGGCGAACGCTCTTAACCTTCCGTAAATTGAAGAGGATGGTCTTGAGACGTGACCCGAAGATGGGGTGGGACAAGAGGGGAGGGGACAAGATGGAGAGGAGGGAGAGCGTTCTAGAGTTTGGGGGCATAGTGGCTGAAAGCGCGGCCACCGATGGTGAACGGAGAGTACAAGGGCCAAGCAGGAGGCCGGAGCCAGTCGAGCGGAGTCAACTGGTAGTGGAGTCAGGAGTGAGGAGGTCGGGAGGTGCCAGGTATGAAGGGATTGATAAACTGGGAAGCGGTTATCAATGGCAGGGAATAGTTTCTTCTTAATAACAATGATAATTAATATTAATAAGAAGAATGTCTTTCCTGCGACTGATGGCTGCTTCCCAACGGAATTTCTGACAAATTATCTTCCTTTCTCCTCACTCCTTCCCCCCCGCTCTGCCCCCCACCGTGTTGTCATTTCAATAACAACTCCTCTTCCTCTGTTTCAAGAATGATCTCACCTCACGCTAAGTGTATAGGTTTTATACTGTCCGAAGGCCCAAGACAATGCACTGGGCATCACACACAGACATAACAAGCCTAATCTCATTCCCGAGAGTCTGTCCTCTCTAATAAACTGAAGGGTTCAATGAGGCTGAGGTTAGAAGAATCTAGAACATTTAAAGCCTGGATTACATCCCTGGGAATTGGCGTGGAGTAAGAAGGTTCTTGTCGAAGGTCACGGAGTCAATTGTTAATCGGCGCTGAAACCCACTGTGCTCTACGTGGCACCAATTTTACAACCCCCCCCACCAACAAAAATTCTTAAAATCCTATTTCTTTCTCCTAGGCCTTGGCTCCACAGACACTATAATAATAGTCCATGGATTTGATACAGCGCCTTATCACGTCATTGAGATGCCTCAAAGCTTCAGAGCATATATTGTAAAGTGAATTGACTGTATATTTTGTGTATTTTGCGGCAGCCAATTGTGCACCGCAGTGTCCCACAAACAGCCCTAGATTCAGTGACCAAATTATTATTATTTTTTTTAATTTAGAGGACTTATACCCAGAAAGTGTTCTGCCAATTGACTAACAACTGCAAGGTGTGTGGAGTAAGGAAACTTTCCTACAGTTTTGCCCTGCGGGAATCAAACACAGGTCCTCTCGCTTGTGAGGCGAGCGCTCTAACCACTATGCTAAGCCTAATATTAATACCTCCAAAACAAAAATGATAATAAATTGTTCATTTTCAATCCACGGCTGTTTGTAGGACACAGCTGTATGCAATTGGCTGCTGCGTTTCACCCACAAGTATACACTTAACAGCATATTCTGTGAAGCGCTTTGCGACGTCTCGAAGACGTGAAAAGCGCTATATCGAAGGCAAGGATTATTATTATTATTATTTTTCTTAAGCTACAGGACACCATACTGCGGTCAATCTCAGGGGCTTCAGTTATGTGGAGAGACTAGAGAAGCTGGGAATCTTCTCCTTAGAGCAGAGAATGTTAAGGGGAGGTTAATAGAGGTGTTCAAAATGATGAGGGGTTTTGATGGAGTAAAAAAAAGGAGCAACTTGTTTCCACTGGTGGATAACCAGAGGATGCAAATTTAAGATAATTGGCAAAAAAAAACCAGAGGGGAGACGAGGAGATTTTTTTTTACGTAGCGAATTGTTAGGATCTAGCTCAAGGGGCTGAATGGCCTCCTCCTGTTCCTATGTTGCTGTGTAAGAGATGTTTTGTGACACAATGGTCCTATCAGTCATGAGCAGATCCAAGGCACCTGGGCTCGCGAGCCATTTGTAGTCAGTGTGAAATTCCAGACAAGAGTCTTTAACATGTCGCCACACGCCCGGATATTCCTCAAAAACCACAGAAACGAACCTCACAGAGTCTCAACTAATGAACAAGCAAAGGGCGGTGAAGGGAGGCTGCAGTTGCATGTTCTGACTCAGCACCAAAGATATGGGGGAGGGATGGTAGCATTCGCAGTGGAGTTTTGATCCAGACAACACCTCCCTCTCCCCCCACACCATCACCGAGGGAGGAGGAATCAGGGGCAGTTTGACATGCGCTCATGCAGGCAACCGGTACAAATCGTTCTGCACTCTTTCCCTCCCTCCCCCCACCGCAGCACTCAGCTGGTCTATTGATAGGGTCAAGAACATAATAATCATTGCATTTGATACAGCGTCTTCAAGAAGTCTCAAAGTGCTTCACAGAATATACTGTAAAGTGTAGTGACTGTGTATATTGCGGGCAAAACGCGATAGCGTCCCCACAAACAGTCATGGATTGAATGAACAAATTATTATTATTTTCAAGCCATTATTGCGCCCGGAAACCGATCCGTCAATTGACTAGCAACCGGGTTCCTACTCACTGCTGGTAAACAGAGGGGTGTGGAGTCAGGAAACTTGCCTGAGGTTTTGCCCTGAGCGAGAATCGGAACCGGATCTCTCACCTTATTATTTGCGATGTTATTAAAGAGATAAACCCTGTATCTGAAAGCGAGCTTAAAAACTCAACTCCAATTATAATCAATGATAATAATAATAATCCTTGCATTCGATACACAGTGCCTTCGGTGGGCGATCACGGCAGCTAAATTGGACACAGCGATATTCCGCGAAACAGCCGTGAAGCGAGCGACTGAATTTCCGGCCAGGAAAACATGAGTTCCAGCTCTCTGCAGCTACGGTCTCGGTCTTTTTTGCTTGTTTGTTTGTGTAAAATCAAAGTAATAAATGGCCGCAGAGTCCCAGTTGAAGCTTGGAATAGACTGCGGAATGTTTTGGGGCGGAGGATAGATTACAAGTGTTTAGCCAAAGCTTAACAGATGGAAGATCTCAAGACTTTTACAAA